AATTTTTTGGGGCGAGAAAAAAATGTGAAATTTTTAGGAAAAATTTTGCCGCGAAAAAAACGCGTTTTTTTCCCGGCAAAATCATGAAATTTTTTGGGGCGAGAAAAAAATGTGAAATTTTTAGGAAAAATTTTGCCGTGAAAAAAACGCGTTTTTTTCCCGGCAAAATCATGAAATTTTTTGGGGCGAGAAAAAAATGTGAAATTTTTAGGAAAAATTTTGCCGTGAAAAATCATGAAATTTTTTGGGGCGAGAAAAAAATGTGAAATTTTTAGGAAAAATTTTGCCGTGAAAAAAACGCGTTTTTTTCCGCAAAATCATGAAATTTTTTGGGGCGAGAAAAAAATGAAATTTTTAGGAAAAATTTTGCCGTGAAAAAAACGCGTTTTTCCCGGCAAAATCATGAAATTTTTTGGGGCGAGAAAAAATGTGAAATTTTTAGGAAAAATTTTGCCGTGAAAAAAACGCGTTTTTTTCCCGGCAAAATCATGAAATTTTTTGGGGCGAGAAAAAAATGTGAAATTTTTAGGAAAAATTTTGCCGCGAAAAAAACGCGTTTTTTTCCCGGCAAAATCATGAAATTTTTTGGGGCGAGAAAAAAATGTGAAATTTTTAGGAAAAATTTTGCCGCGAAAAAAACGCGTTTTTTTCCCGGCAAAATCATGAAATTTTTTGGGGCGAGAAAAAAATGTGAAATTTTTGGAAAAATTTTGCCGTGAAAAAAACGCGTTTTTTTCCCGGCAAAATCATGAAATTTTTTGGGGCGAGAAAAAATGTGAATTTTTAGGAAAAATTTTGCCGTGAAAAAAACGCGTTTTTTTCCCGGCAAAATCATGAAATTTTTTGGGGCGAGAAAAAAATGTGAAATTTTTAGGAAAAATTTTGCCGTGAAAAAAACGCGTTTTTTTCCCGGCAAAATCATGAAATTTTTTGGGGCGAGAAAAAAATGTGAAATTTTTAGGAAAAATTTTGCCGTGAAAAAAACGCGTTTTTTTCCCGGCAAAATCATGAAATTTTTTGGGGCGAGAAAAAATGTGAAATTTTTAGGAAAAATTTTGCCGCGAAAAAAACGCGTTTTTTTCCCGGCAAAATCATGAAATTTTTTGGGGCGAGAAAAAAATGTGAAATTTTTAGGAAAAATTTTGCCGTGAAAAAAACGCGTTTTTTCCCGGCAAAATCATGAAATTTTTTGGGGCGAGAAAAAAATGTGAAATTTTTAGGAAAAATTTTGCCGTGAAAAAAACGCGTTTTTTCCCGGCAAAATCATGAAATTTTTTGGGGCGAGAAAAAAATGTGAAATTTTTAGGAAAAATTTTGCCGCGAAAAAAACGCGTTTTTTTCCCGGCAAAATCATGAAATTTTTTGGGGCGAGAAAAAAATGTGAAATTTTTAGGAAAAATTTTGCCGCGAAAAAAACGCGTTTTTTTCGCAAAATCATGAAATTTTTGGGGCGAGAAAAAAATGTGAAATTTTTAGGAAAAATTTTCGTGAAAAAAACGCGTTTTTTTCCCGGCAAAATCATGAAATTTTTTGGGGCGAGAAAAAAATGTGAAATTTTTAGGAAAATTTTGCCGGAAAAAATCATGAAATTTTTTGGGGCGAGAAAAAAATGTGAAATTTTTAGGAAAAATTTTGCCGTGAAAAAAACGCGTTTTTTTCCCGGCAAAATCATGAAATTTTTTGGGGCGAGAAAAAAATGTGAAATTTTTAGGAAAAATTTTGCCGCGAAAAAAACGCGTTTTTTTCCCGGCAAAATCATGAAATTTTTTGGGGCGAGAAAAAAATGTGAAATTTTTAGGAAAAATTTTGCCGTGAAAAAAACGCGTTTTTTTCCCGGCAAAATCATGAAATTTTTTGGGGCGAGAAAAAAATGTGAAATTTTTAGGAAAAATTTGCCGTGAAAAAAACGCGTTTTTTTCCCGGCAAAATCATGAAATTTTTTGGGGCGAGAAAAAAATGTGAAATTTTTAGGAAAAATTTTGCCGTGAAAAAAACGCGTTTTTTTCCCGGCAAAATCATGAAATTTTTTGGGGCGAGAAAAAAATGTGAAATTTTTAGGAAAAATTTTGCCGCGAAAAAAACGCGTTTTTTTCCCGGCAAAATCATGAAATTTTTTGGGGCGAGAAAAAAATGTGAAATTTTTAGGAAAAATTTTGCCGCGAAAAAAACGCGTTTTTTTCCCGGCAAAATCATGAAATTTTTTGGGGCGAGAAAAAAATGTGAAATTTTTAGGAAAAATTTTGCCGTGAAAAAAACGCGTTTTTTTCCCGGCAAAATCATGAAATTTTTTGGGGCGAGAAAAAAATGTGAAATTTTTAGGAAAAATTTTGCCGTGAAAAAAACGCGTTTTTTTCCCGGCAAAATCATGAAATTTTTTGGGGCGAGAAAAAAATGTGAAATTTTTAGGAAAAATTTTGCCGCGAAAAAAACGCGTTTTTTTCCCGGCAAAATCATGAATTTTGGGCGCGGAAAAAAATGTGAAATTTTAGGAAAAATTTTGCCGTGAAAAAAACGCGTTTTTTTCCCGGCAAAATCATGAAATTTTTTGGGGCGAGAAAAAAATGTGAAATTTTTAGGAAAAATTTTGCCGTGAAAAAAACGCGTTTTTTTCCCGGCAAAATCATGAAATTTTTTGGGGCGAGAAAAAAATGTGAAATTTTTAGGAAAAATTTTGCCGGGAGCTAAGCTAATTTAGTGCTGAGTCAAAGTGATGGCAATCGAGCAACTTCCATATTTATTATCTAGCTGGGATCTAATATCTTTATTCGCGCTAAAAATCGAACCTCGCAAAAACAACTCGAATCGACTCATGCAATGTTGGAATAACGAAATATGACGTAAATGGGCGGGGGAGCACTTTTTTGATTTTCGTGTCTGTTTGTCGTTCCGTCCGTCCGTCCTTCCGGCGTGACAAACGGCCTTGTGGGGCCTAAACGGTAAGAGGTATCGACATGAGGTTTGTCGCGAAGGTTAAAAGTGTGCAGTGGTAATGAAGACTTTTTTTGGTCAAATCCAACCCCCCATCCCTCCGTCCGCCACTTTGAACACCCCAAAATACACTTTCCTCAATTATTCAGCCCCATCTGGCATGAATCGGACTCAAATTCTGGTATGTTATAGCTGACCTCAGGACATTTCCAACGAACCGCCACTTTACAACCTAGGACCTCCCGGACCCTAGCTAAAAGGGTTCGAATTTCAAAAATAAAAATGGCCATAGCTTCGCTTCTAATTAACCGATCGGAATGATTTTGTAGTCATTGGATGGGTCTCATAAAATGCCATCTCCCACAAAAACAACATAACTTGGTAGGACCACCGCTAGAGGCGCTAAAGTTAAAAAAAAAAACCATTTTCGAAATTTCGAAAACGAATAACTCGAAAACGAAATCATAAATTTTCGGTAAATTTATTATGTTTGAGCTGAGGTCAAGACCTTTCCAACGAACCGTTACTTTTGGGGCCCTATTCATTAGGAGCGGAGATATGGAAGGTCAAAGTTCACACCTTTACCGGCCCAAATCTCCGCAGTTGACCAACCGATTTCGATAATCTCTTCACCAAAAGACGTATCTCAGCGCCCTTTAGCAAACCATATTCACCATTAGTCTGTGACGTCATAACAAATACAACAATATTGAAAAACTTTGAACGCTTGTATCTCGGCTCAGGTTAGGACGACTCTAAAAAAAAGATTATATTTTTTGTGGATGCAATGGAACCCGAGTTGTGACAGTTTGAAATTTTAATTTTTTAATACGCTATAACTTTGGTTCAATTATATTCAATCTTGATAATTTTGGGGCTTGCTGGAAAGCTCTTGCACAGCTCTACGACTATTTAGAATAACAGAAGTTCTGATGAAGTCTGATGACCACCGCCAGAGGCGCTAATGACAATAACAAAATTTTTTAAAATTTTTAAATAAAAAATATTGAACATTTAAAATAAAACAAATGAACAAGAACTGCGGTTTTTTGAAAAATGTGAAAATGAGACTCAACTTGGTTATAAAATATATGGAGCACATTCTGTGACGCCGCGTCGGCGCAAGACCAACAAGACGAAGTGAGAAGAAAGAAAACTATCATGCCAGTGTGTGACAGTAACATTCATCGTGGGGGTATTGTCTGGGGGTGGTGAAAAGACGACATTCCGTAAGGGCAGACACTGTAGTACACTCGTGATTAGTGACATTATTCCTATCCTATTGGCGCGTGACAAATATATTTTCCAGGCGTACATTTGGGATATTTGAACGCCATATAGGCGACGAACATCGTATTCCGGGAGGCCTCTGCTCTGATGCTCCACCTGGAGGCGCATAGGTGAACCCGAGGGCTTGCATTCCTGCTTCACATCGCAAGTAAGCGTGCGTGTTATTCAGAATGTCAGACCTTGGCAGTGGTGACGAAGGTGGTCAAAGTGAGTAGCGCTCCAGCCTACCCACCCCTCCCATTTGTGATCTCACTTACTTTTTTTACGCTCAGAATATCACGTTCAGGGCATGGATGGCAATGGCGGTGATTTTGGTGATCCTGGACAAACTGGGCAGCAAACGGAGCAGGAGCTTGCCACAAAAATGTTACAGATTCAATCTAAACGCTTTTATTTGGACGTAAAGCAGAATCGACGCGGACGCTTCATAAAAGTGGCTGAAATCGGTGCAGATGGTCGGCGTAGTCAAATATTTCTAGCTTTGTCAACAGCGGCAGAATTCAGAGATCATCTATCAACTTTTAGTGATTATTATGCATCATTAGGTGAGAGTTGGCATAAATTTATAAATCAGCTAATAGACATTATATTTTTACATTCGGAATAGGACCCCCTAATCCCGAGAGTGTGCCCGAAGACGGCAAACTCAAGTCGGAAATGATGATAAAAGACAATAGGCGATACTATTTGGACTTGAAGGAGAATGCCCGTGGACGGTTTTTGAGGGTGAGCATACTAAATGGTATTTTTGTACTTCTGCGATTATGTACATTTTGTATTCTTTAAATTCCGTTACAAGTTCCAAGAAAATTTATGAAAATAACAAAAAAAAATTTTTTTGGCTAAAGATAAAAATAAAATGAATATCCCCAAAAGAGGTAAATCGAAGCAATCACAAAGTGGATAAAGTAGTAAGGATCCAATTAAGGGAGTAAAAGACTAGTTCGGAGTGGTTGTATGTGAGTGGCAGATTCAAGAACAGATTGCCTGGACGAGTAATAAAATGGATATCTATCTATTGCCTCTTCATTGTACTCGAATTTGAGGTCGTGGGTTGGTAAACTGAAGTAGATGGGCAAAGAAAGTATATCTTTGATAAGCAAACATTGGCCAAATAGAATTGCTTTTTAGCTCACTTCTTGAGATAAACCTTAGTAGAAATTCTTCTGTACTCAATTTGTGCAGTGTTTGAGGACATAGAACATGTTCTTTGGGTGCTTGTGTTTTCTAAGGAACAGAAAGAGAAGTGAAACACGGAACGCCCTCTTTTAAATTAACTTTTCAAGAAGGAGGAATAAGGAATAAGAAGAAGGTCTTCAGGTATAGAGAAAATTTGAGATGAATTTGGTCATTATTTTGGGGTGAATTGGCAATCCAAAGTATATTTCATATCTTCTCCAAGGGGTGACAAATGTCGGTTTTGCGTGTCACAGCATCTTGCATCTCGACTGCATCGCGATGCACGGAGATGCAAATTCTATAAATTTTGTAAATATTTATAACTGCATTTTGGCATCTCTGATGCATTTTGACTGCATCTTGGACCAAGTGACACTGCATCTCCGACATTAGCCACCCCTTGTATCTTCTCCGATCGCGGGTGTTCTTATTCCAAGCTGTGAATCCGTCTCTGGTCATAGAATGGTTTCCGGCGGAGAATAAAGGAGATAGAGTCAGTAAGTGACAAGAGACAGAAGCCTCAATTTATATATAAAAACTGTTAGAAGAGATATACTCCATTATTCACAATCATTCACAATCCGACTGATCAATTCACAATACTCCTTTATACTTTCTATCCTTTCGTGGATCACTATTAAGTAAAGTATAAGAAAGTCTAACAGTCAAGTGAATAAAAACTCAGAAGTCATTCCAAATCAGTTGTTTGGCAGAACCATTGGCTCTACAGTCATCTTCGAGTGCGACGATTGGAAAAATCTGTTATCAGGAAAGCCTTGCCTGTTCACATGTGAAGATAAGTGAAAGTGAAGCACATATCATCATTGCATCATCCAAATCATCACAAAACACAGGGAAAAATGTGTTTAACTGACACTGACAAAAAATTGTCTGACTTCCACGTGGAAGAAATTGGGTAGAAACTGGGAGCAAATTGGAATATTATGCCCAAAAACTCTCTCAGAGGGCACATTTTGCATTTTATGACAGCTAAAAAGTATTCGTAAAGAAATGACTTTTGACGATTGAAATTCATATTATAAAAACTCCTCATCGAGCCTTGCCACGCCTTCACGATTGAATTTCATTCGTACTTTACACTAACAGTCGCTGCGCGGCCTTCAATATAAGCTCTGAAAAGCGTAAAGTTGCAATTCCATTCGTAGTTTTTACGCGCTGAGTGCACATTGTGCTTTTCCACATTTTGTATAATGATTTTGCATTTTACGCAGGGTAATCAATAATACAGCGAAGTTTTTTTTTTTGGATAATAATACAAACAAAATATATTGTCATAGGTCTCTCAAACAATCACAAGAGGTGGGCCAAGATCACAAATTGCAATCCCAGCACAAGGTATGATCGAGTTTAGGGACGCCCTTACTGATCTACTTGAAGAATTCGGAACGAATGACGGCGGGTGAGTAAAGATAACATAGATAACTGATACACGTAATTCTGAAGTGTACTTATTAGGTTCAAAGGTGAATTGCCAGAGGGTCGTCATATGAAGGTGGACAACAAGAACTTCTATTTCGATATTGGACAAAACAATCGTGGTATCTATATGCGAATTAGCGAGGTGAGCTTCATGTATTTAAATTGATATGAGTAATTCCGTATATTTTTAAAACTTATATGTTTTTAAGGTGAAAAGTAATTTTCGGACTGCAATAACAGTGCCAGAAAAATGTTGGTCCCGATTTCGAGACATCCTCTCCGATTATTGTGACAAAATGAAAAAATCGTCCGATTTACCTATCACTGCCGAAACTAACTTACAAACATCTAATAGTTTAAAGTAAAAACTGTTGGTAGAAGAATAGCTGCAAATATAAGAGAAAAAAAATTAGTCAAGAAGAACCTAAAAGTTTAAAAGAGATAACGGAAACAAGCAAAGAATGAAGAGGATACAAAAGCAGGGCAGATGAAGATATGGAAAAAGTTCTATGAATAACTTAGTACGAATAGAAATAGATAAATACAAGAATATATATGTATGTAAATATATGTATACAAATATAATTATATACAGATATATGCTACAACTACACACACACACACACACACACACAAACATACACATTAACAAAAAATATTTTAAAACAGTAGCTCTTAGACAGTGAAATAAGAAAGTAAAGTAAGACTTTACAAGTCACAAACCAACAATTAAAGAAAAATACACTTTTTGGTTCTTGCTGCGGTAAGAAAATGTATAAACAATTATTAAAAATTTAAAATAATTAAAATACAGAAACAAATTAAGAATTGATCGAATTAACGAATTGCATAAATGAAAGTATGTTGATATGAATGATATAATAACCATTTCCAATCACTTTTTAATTTAAATAATAATTAGAAAATATGTAGAGAAATTGAATATAAGATTTTTTTTATTGATGTGAAACCACATTAGAGCATGTCTTGTGAAATCCTTATCTTGTAATAAGATTTCATTTAACATCCTCTCTACAATTGCTTTTTATTCTTTTGTTGTTTTGTTTTAAAAGGTATTGTAAATTTTCTCAAATTTTATGTTATATGCAAATAACGTGAAACTGTAGCTAGGGATACAATTTTGCAATGTGTGTTCGTTTCATAGTAATACTGATTTGATTAAATAGTACTATGACTAAAAATTGAAATAATGAATTACGTTTGCATATTTATGCTTCATTTCACTGATAATTTGAGCATGATATCAAGTGATGATGAAATATAAAATATAAGAGTTTATTTTCAACACTGGGATTAATTCATTCAAAATTCCAAGTTCAAGTGTAGCGACTTTGTTTCATGCATTTGAATCAAATATTTTTTCTTTCTTCCCTTTACCGTGTCTTGAAATGGAACATTTTTTCACCACAAATTTTTTTTTAATAATCATCTCAAATTCAAATAGAGAAAGAAAATTTTGTTGCGGTGGTAATGTTTTCGATTCAAAATTGTTCATAATACCCAAAAAAAAAACCATGGAAAATACGATGTTGCCAAGGCGTGGAGTATAAAAGTCAATAAAATATTGTTGTGAAATTTTTTCAACCTTAAAAGACGGCCAGAAGGACGAAACCTAAACTATCTCCTGAGCACCCAATTCATATGAGATTAGATTAAAACCCGTTAATTGAATGATATTTGGGCACTTTACCTTTACATTCGCAGGTCTAAGCAGGGGTATTAGACACTGGGAATGACGCAAATGCGCAATTACCTTCGGTGGTAAGTTGCGGCTCACGACATCTCTGGAAGAGATTTACACGATGGGAGGAAAATCACATTGATTCAAGGTTTGGGTTTTGCTCTAGTGGTTATTTTGGTAATTTCATTCATATACAAATTTCGCGAACTGTACACGGTTGTAAAGAAATCGACGGAGTCGATCGTTTTTTTGTCGTGACGTCACGGCAATAGTGAGGATAACGACTCAGCGTGCACTCAGACACACTCTCCGACGCGTGATTCAGTTTTTAAAGCTTTTATTCGCGAAGTCGCGGGGTGCAAAAGCCGCGAATGTGATATCGTGCCAGGTTCCTTAGGCGGCTTTTTAAATTCTCATCTGAAGGAAACACTCTGATTTCATCTCAGATACCCCGGACAGCCTGCTGACTGCCTCAAAGATGAGCTATAGCACAAGTCCCACACACAGGTTGGCTGCCGGTCTACAATGGCCGCGCAAAAGGATCTTGTCTTGATGCGTGAATTTTAGTGATTATGTAACTTCTATGTTACTTTTGTAGTACAATTTGCGATATTCTTTGGTGCGGACCGATAAACAACCTTCAACCACTTAGAGAGATTAACTCACAGCATCGAAAGCCAAGTGAGGCTTCTCTCTCCGTTCGCGTGAGAGCCTAGTTCTCTGGTGACAACTTATGTCATCAAACTAAACGTTGCAATCGGTGGGTTTTTCGATTATGACGTCTGATTTTACACTACTATAATTTAATTGGATATATCGAACAGATTTGATTTTGTGCTGAAAAACATGCTACTTTTCAGCTAATTTAGTGCTGAGTCAAAGTGATGGCAATCGAGCAACTCACAATATTTATTATCTAGCTGGGATCTAATATCTGTAATCGCGCTAAAAATCGAACCTAGCAAAAACAACTCGAATCGACTCATGCAATGTTGGAATAACGAAATATGACGTAAATAGGGGGGGGGGACACTTTTTTGATTTTCGTGTCTGTTTGTCGTTCCGTCCGTCCGTCCTTCCGGCGTGACAAACGGCCTTGTGGGGCCTAAACGGTAAGAGGTATCGACATGAGGTTTGCCGCGAAGGTTAAAAGTGTGCAGTGGTAATGAAGATTTTTTTTTTGGTCAAATCCAACCCCCCACCCTTCAGTCCGCCACTTTGAACACCCCAAAATACACTTTCCTCAATTATTCAGCCCCATCTGGCATGAATCGGACTCAAATTCTGGTATGTTATAGCTGACCTCAGGACATTTCCAACGAACCGCCACTTTACAACCTAGGACCTCCCGGACCCTAGCTAAAAGGGTTCGAATTTCAAAAATAAAAATGGCCATAGCTTCGCTTCTAATTAACCGATCGGAATGATTTTGTAGTCATTGGATGGGTCTCATAAAATGCCATCTCCCACAAAAACAACATAACTTGGTAGGACCACCGCTAGAGGCGCTAAAGTAAAAAAAAAAAACCATTTTCGAAATTTCGAAAACGAATAACTCGAAAACGAAATCATAAATTTTCGGTAAATTTATTATGTTTGAGCTGAGGTCAAGACCTTTCCAACGAACCGTTACTTTTGGGGCCCTATTCATTAGGAGCGGAGATATGGAAGGTCAAAGTTCACACCTTTACCGGCCCAAATCTCCGCAGTTGACCAACCGATTTCGATAATCTCTTCACCAAAAGACGTATCTCAGCGCCCTTTAGCAAACCATATTCACCATTAGTCTGTGACGTCATAACAAATACAACAATATTGAAAAACTTTGAACGCTTGTATCTCGGCTCAGGTTAGGACGACTCTAAAAAAAAGATTATATTTTTTGTGGATGCAATGGAACCCGAGTTGTGACAGTTTGAAATTTTAATTTTTTAATACGCTATAACTTTGGTTCAATTTATTCAATCTTGATAATTTTGGGGCTTGCTGGAAAGCTCTTGCACAGCTCTACGACTATTTAGAACAACAGAAGTTCTGATGAAGTCTGATGACCACCGCCAGAGGCGCTAATGACAATAACAAAAATTTTTTTAAAATTTTTAAATGAAAAATTTCGTTCCAAGGTCACACTACTTTCAGATAATTTCTTACGTATTTCAATAGTCCAGATCGAGACCTTTCCAAAATGGGGTTAAACTTTTCTGTCGAAGCCATAGAACCAGAGTTATAATTTTTTTGGTTTTCAGGACTTGGATTTTACATTGCATTTGGAAATTTCCATGCTTTCTTTCCTTCTAACTAAATCGAGTTGGCCACGGAAGAGAGAAATTTTTATAGCTAATATGCCATAAGTACACGCAAAGCGTGTGTTTTTCACGCACAACATTTTCACGCCCGACCGGGATCTTTTCCACAAAATGCGTATTTCTGACAATTGATGTCCGATACAATCGCGATAAACGATTTCATCATATTCTCTGTAGAACACTTATCTAACAAAGCATAAGAATTTCCACAGTGAATATTCTCATTTTCATTTAAAACTTGTTCATTTGCTTAGAGGTGTAAGGTACAGGAAATTTAAATTAACTAAAGCCATGATTAGAAATCACTAATTTTGTGAAGAATTCTTCTCAGAACGTATCAGAATACAATAGAATTAGCTAGACTTCTAGGTTTAAAGACGCCACGCGTAAATTTTTTTTTGGGTTTTTTGACTATTTCGATTATTTATTACTTGGAAATTTACCATCTTCCTACTTATTTACTTATGTGGTCTTACGTCCCTTTAAGGGACATGGCTTTTTCCACAATACCTCATCATTTTCCGTGATCTGACGCCACCGTTCGCCAGCAACGCAACATCTCATGGGGTTTAAGGACATGGTTCACACCTTGTTTGGTGTCGACCTCTCCTCCTAGGCCCCGATAACGGCGCAGTACTTCATAGCTTCCTGGACATTCTCTCGTCAGGCATGCGGTGCAAATGCCCGAGCCATCCCAGTTTCTTTGCCCGAATAGAGGCAGCAATGTCTGGTTCCTCATGGAGCTTTTCCAGTTTGTAGTTCATCCGGAACCGTAATTCCCTTTCATTCACATTTTGGACTGGGCGATAGATCCTGCTCAGAATTCACCAGCCTCGGCATAAAATACGGGACTTTCAATGTAAACGGATATTGTTTTAAGAGTTTAACATGGAGTAAAATTGTTTCTCAATCTCTATGACCCAATTTGGTAAGAATACCACACCTCTGTCATACATTTTTCTAACCCAAGACAAGATAGTAGTTGAGAAAATGTATTTAACTACTTGTCATATTTGGGTCTTGATCCCGGGGCTGCAAGATTGCAATTTTGACGTACTTACCTATTGATGGTAATGAGAAATTCTTCGCAATCTTATATTTCGTACCAAAATTATATTAAAATAATTCTGATAATGACATTAAATGCATAAACTTTTCCTTAGTGTTCGGACTGGCAATGAGAAATAATAAAACCATCTGCTCAATTGTATATCTAGTAATACGTGATATCTAATGGAGTAAATAAAAAAGAAAATTGATTTTTAAATTTATTTAAATTTTATTGGAAACTAAAGATCTATATAGAATGCACTTTACATTTTTGTTTTTCGATATAAGAGGACAAAAGGCTTAATCTGAGAAATTTTTTGTAGATTTTCGTGATATTGTGCTGTCTGAAAAGTAGAATTGGGTATTTTCTGATCTATTCGCATTTCAAATTAAAATTTTATTATAACAGAGGAGTGCGTAAGCTCATAAACGCCAGAGTAAAAAAAAGTATCATCCTACTTATTATGTTTTTATGGGTGTTAAGTGAATAACAAAAGGACCAAGTAACTTTCAGTTCATGAATTATTTTTTTTTTTTTTACCATAAATTCGTTTTTTTTTTAAATTGAAATTTCTGGCTTGGAAATTAAAAGGCAAATTTTACTATTGGCGTTTTAATGTCTTTATTTCACTTGGTAACGTTATCGGTTCACTGTATGTGCCAGCTATGGTTTAAATCAGATCTAATTTTTTTTACGGTTTAGACTTATGTATGTGTTGAGCTTTCCAACAAACCCTACTTTAGGCTAGGATACAAATAATCAGATTTCAAAAATGGGTATTCAGATTTTAATAACTCTGAAATAACTGTTTTGTTCGTTCAATTGAGGCAATTGATAGGTCTGCCACTACATTCAATTTAACAATATAAGTACTTTTGAAACTGCTTTGTCATAGGCTGTAGGTCGTGTTACTTCTGTGTAATTTATAATCCTTCGTACTGTAGTATCCCGTACGGATTTGGCCAGGCCTTAGGCTCCGGCTAGGTTAATTCCCACCAAAGATAGCACATCCAAGACAACCCAGGGTCAAGCCACGAATCCCAAAGTTATTTTACCTTGCCGATATTGCCGGAATTGCTCGCCTCTTTCCGCGCTTACCGTCTCTACAATCTTTGTTTGGCAGGAAAAGCTCAGTTCCATTCCAACCATATATAGCGAATGAATATGGTTCTACAATGGATTTTGTGATTTTGCGTTTCTTCAGCGGTAATCGTTAAGAGCTGTGATCTTACACACCTGCTAAAATTTGAGCGATCGTAGGTGTTTTGCTTCTTTTTTCAGGGCTATAATTATTGCTTAGTGTTAATGTTTGTTCAAATGGGTTTGAAAATGGTATTCTTTACATGGGGAAAATTTAGAGTGAGTCTTGTAGTGAAATTCTGACTGTGGGGTTGATAATTTTATTTTTGGAATGTGTAAATAATTGATAATGATTTAATAATCATTAGCAATGATCATTTTAGCAGCTGGAACATATGCGATCGCGCAAAAAAATAAATATTTCAAATTCACCTAAAATGAACTCAGGACGACTACATATTCAATTCGATTTCAATTCAATTTATTTATGGCAAAACTTAGTGCCAATCCTCTTACAAAATTGTTCTTCCGAACGATTTCAAATTTGAAATATTTAAATGGCCATAACTCTGCTTCTACTTATCTGAACAAAATCTTTTTGAGTTCAGTGGAAAGGTCAACACTCATCTACACATTATATCTTAATACAACCTATAACCAACGGAAACTAAAGTAAAAAAAAAGTGTGTTTGAAAACTCAAAATCGATTATCTCAGAAATTTTTTTTATGTATTTTCTTAAACGTCAGTATGTTGTAGCTGTGATCAAGACCTTCCAAACGAATCGTTATTGGGGAGTCTGATGTACTAGTAATGAAGATATATGGGGTAAAAATTCTCACCTTAATCAGCATAGATCTCCTCTGTTTACTAACTGATTTCAATCATCTTTTCATCAAAAGACGTGAATCGACGTCCTTCAGTAGACTTCATCTACCATTAGTCAGGGATGTTCTTAGTGACACCACCATATTTAATTGACTTTTTACATCTGTATCTCGGCAAATCTATATGTATTTGATAAGATTTTAGTATGTTGTAGTATATTTCAGATCTCAATCCAACAGAAGTTCTTGCGCTGAATTTTTCTGAAAAGAATTTTTAGATTTGTGCACCTTTTTTTTATATCCTTGTTTTTATTTTGAGTTTGTCACGAAAATTCAAAAGTATATCACAGTAGACCTTCAAAAAACATTTTTAAAAGATTTTTACTTTCAAACAGAAAAAAAGCAATAGATAAAAAATTTAGACATGAGTAATCAAACTGATGATCGTAATTCAAACAGGCATTCACCGCGATATAATTTTTAGTAATATCTTCAGTGTAACAATAGGATATTAAACAGGTTTACAGGACCTCCTGAAAAACTTCTTTTCAGGACAATCAAATCAAGCCTTTAATTATCTATGTGTAGAAAAATTAAAACCCTCTATATGTGGCTTTTCCATCAGAGCCTGGAATACTAGGAAACATATCCATCATATGACTGGCCAATAATTATAGGTTTGTTTAATTTGGCTGTGATGGTCAGTGAAATCCTTAACATAGTTCCACTCAAGCGATATTTCAAAGGAGAATTATTTCTCCCTCAAGCAAGATAGTATTGAGAAAAGTTGATAATTGTTTCTTCCTCCATTAAAGAAAATTCAATTTTTTTATGATATGATAAAACCATATAGATTTTACTGAGATTCAACTGGTAACCATGCCGTATTGATAAGGCATAGTCGCTTCGTGGCTTTTCTAAAACTCTTTGAAAAAGCTTTGACCTCATTTACTACGAAGATGATTCGAGTGTTACTATGCTACTTTGGGCAGGAATCAGCAAAAAATACCAAAGCTTTGGCTCAATATGCAAGAATTGTATCATGACAAAAAATTCCAATTGTATTCAAAGGGGGTGCACATGTTCTGTGAAGTGGTTTTTGGTTGTGACAGAAATTTTCCCAACATTGTGACGCCAATTGAAACGCCGATTGAGGCGCTTTGAATTATCACTGAAAAGAAATAAATTTAGAAATAATTATTATGTACTATTTTTTCTTAAATAAAATTCCGACTGAACCTATAGTTATTGTCTAACGAGATGATGGTTAAGTTTCTCAGCATCCCCTGATTCTGTGGAAAAGCCGTATACTTAGGGTTTTGATTTTGGTATGAATAAATAAAAAAAATCACCAATTCAGACTCTGTAAACGTATTCTCGATTAACAATTGCCCACATTTTATGGGAAAATAATTTCCATTTCAAAATCAGACAAATATAGCTTATTTTAATGTTTAATATCTTTAATATTTCAATATATAATACAGATTATTTTCTATATACACAATGAAGTTTTGATGTGAATACTTACAGGTGTGTCAGAAATTGCAAAAGTTAATTCGATTAATAGATAAATGTATTAATGGTGATTCAACATTTTTCTAATGATGTGACACAGATGAAATAAAATTGAGTTAAGAAATAAATAATAGAGATATATTGGGTGTTTCTAATTTGTTGACAATGACAAAGAAAAAACTAACCCTGCGTTGGATATTAAAAAAGTATAGTTCAAACAGATGAATTAAGGAAAGTGAATTTAAAGATGAAAAAGTAAATAGTTAAAAAATGTTTGAAAGCACACCAGTTGAAAATTGTGTGGAAAAGTTTAATGTGATGAAGCGCATAGCGGTTGAAGCACATATAGAAAAAACATTGAAGAATACATTTATAATTGAAACAAAGGAATAGATATACACAAATATTTTTTTTTGTTTTAAATATGATAAAATAAACGAAAAGTTGTGAAAAAAAAACAAATTATAATAAGATGAAAAAAAAAAATTATGAATAATTTACAGTGCAATACTTTGGACTTGAAGACAAATGACAAACGCACTATTCAGCTTATTGTCGAGAAAGGATACATTAATAACATTCAAATTACAGAAACAGGCCAAGTATAGAAAGCAGTACATACTGTTGTGTAGAAGCATGTTGACAGAAATATAATTTATAATTGTATTACAGATATAAACTTAGAGAAAAAAATATTTTGGCTATTTTGAGCAGACAATGTATACAAAAAAAACGCTAAAAACCTAAGTAAATATTGAAAAAAATACTGTTTGAATTCAATGTTATACACTTTGTTATATGGAAATTATAGAGATTTCACTAATATCTAATTTTTCATTCTCAGTGTTATAAAAGGTTAAAATGCATACAACTGATTTTAATGATAAAATAATGAATTTTCATGAATACATAAACGGCTTTTTGTCACCTAAAGGCTATCAAATATGTTTTCCATTATATATATTTGGTTCACATAAAAAATGTATAAGCATATGAGAAGCGGGTGGAAAATATTTGGAACGATTGTAGAATTCATTTTATTTTGTTTCCTACAAGGGTCAGTAAAAAAAAATGAAGTTCAAAAGATATTACAAAAATTCTTTACCGTGCCAGAGTTATGAAAACTGGTGATACGTGGCTGTTTATCATTAATCATCATAATTCTTTTATAACAATATTCAAAGTATATTTTGCCTCTTCATTGATTTTTTATATTCATGTGGAATTGAACGTGGCAAAAATCTATATACGTATGGGTTTCTGCTTCATTTAATTATACTTAGATTCAATATGAGTAAAGCATGACAATTATACCACAACCGTGTTTTATTACGCATAATGTGAGACTTACGTTAATCTCGGTCTGTATAACAGAATGTATAACTAAGGAGAAAAACTTTAGCAAGAAATCATAGAGATTATGATTTTTAATAATTTTCAAAAATTCTTGTCAAAGAAAAAATTGTTTTAGTGGAATATATATGACCTCTCACCAGCTGATGTAGTGTTGTTTTGTAAGTAATAAGTTGTCAGAATCTCAAAGAAAATCAACAGTAGGCCTATGCCAATTATTGGCACGCCAATGAAATTTAGAAAAAATCTAATAATAAAATAAATGCATATAATACATGAAAAAAACAATGTGTGACATTGAAGTCATTGTAATATTTGTTTTAACTTTGCACAAGAGAACTTATGCTCTGTTAAGTCAAACACTGAGATGATGTGAAAATATGCTAAAGTAATGGAAAATCTATCAAAGACTCTTTAAAAACAAATAAATCAGACAGTTGAAATGAGAATTATCTTGTATTTTGTAAAGTCGCAATATTTTCAAGTATAGCTTTGCTTAGATATCTGGCAAAGTCAGCAATTTAGTCTCACATGACACTTGGATCCTATCACGTTCTATTTAAATTTTTTCCCCGTTTAACATTCACTTTTTGGACCTGTTCAGTGCAATAATTTCGGTAATTGGGACGGTAAATAGTGTCTCGTTATTGTTTATTATCCATTTATTAAAATAAATTTACGTTGTGCTCCGGAATCTAAAATTGACCCTTGCGCAGGGTGGAAATCTCGCGAAAACTCGTGGGAAATTTGGTCTGGAATTTCGCTGGAATAGCGGTATTATCATAATTTTTTGTCATGTTTACTATACATCCGGCGCCGAAGCAGCAGTCGTGCGAGTAGGAAAGAAAACTCAACACATTTTTTCATTTGGAAGTAAAAGTTACGTTGAATTCAAGTGAAATAAGTAATTTAAACTGCACATTTTAGTATAAAATTAAGGATATAGTGCAGTGTATTTGTGCTTATGAAGGCAAAACATGTACGTTATGGAATTGAATGTGAATTTAGTCTCCTCACAAAAAACTTGCCACTCTAATTATAAATGCAAATCGTCCAATGTAGAAATTGCTGTGAGTAGGCATATTAAAAATTTGCTTATCCTATCTTATTCTCTTCATATCTTGTCCTTAACTTATTCCTCTGTGCAGTGCCTCCAAAAAATTTATAGAAAACGTTGATATACAGCAGTAAATTCTTGATGCAGTGGATAATTCAAATCAATTGAATAAAGACAAACAATGTTTTTATCACATATCATTACAAACAAATACATCAATATGGTCATAGAAGGGTAAACTCTAACTCTAACTTGATCAACTCGATGGCCTCATACTGCAGTCTGTAGCGATTTCTCCTGGCGATACAGAGGCCCTTAAATCAAGTCTTGTTGAGTGAACTTATCTTAGCAAGAAAATAAATGTGGATAAGCGCACGAGAAGCGTGTATGGACAGGAATCGTTGCAAATCTGTCACGCATTCTCGCAATACGAACGTCCGGACATTGTGATTGTCTACGTCACGTTTTTCGGTTCACCATTTGATCACTTACGCACTTTTTCCGCTTTTTACTCTTTACTTTACTTCCGCCTTTTACTTTTTAGATTACAAAAATACACATATCAGAAAAAATAATATACTCATTCATCCCAATTTACGCAAAGGGCCTAGCACAGGTACTGTCTGTGTTATATATATATATATATATATATATATGCATATATATATATATATATATATTTATATATATATATATATATATATGCAATATAATATATATATATATATATATTATATATATATATATGCAGGTCCATAGACCTGCACACGCAAATTATTGTAGCAAGTTATTGACTACAACAGCGGCAGTTTAGTTGAGCAACCTTCTGTATCGCTCGGAGAGAGGTCTGGGAACCACAAGTGGCTCATTTCGTCCTGGCGCAGCGGAGGCGACAAACAGTCCTAAGGGACAAATCTTGTCCCTTATCTGATGCGAATAGGCTCTGCTATATTAGGATAGCCTGGAGCACCCAGGACGGCCACGAGCAAGGCGGAGAAGTCCGTTCCTCTTGTGGATTTTCCGGCACAATCGGGGCGTTATCCACGGCTTCAAAGGACGGCATCGTCCTCCCAGTCCCGTAGCCATCGTCGTGCAGGCATCAACATGGCGTTTCAGGGTAGAGAGGAAGTCCGCAAAGGCCACATCACCTAGCCTACAGGCATAGATATCATCCAATGTCTCGGACCGGAGCCTATGCTACTTAATAGTTCCTAAAATTTATCATATTTTCATTTTAAAGTTCATTATTGGTGTTTAAAATTATGATTTCGGCGAAATTTTACAATAAAATCACCATTCATAACACACATTTAAAGCACCTCGGCGAGGTGCTTTAAATAATTTACCAACTCCCAGATAATTTCGTCTCGAAATCTTTATGGTGAAAACACAGCATTTGTAATTTGTCATTTCTTCATCTCTTTTTTCCCCACGCACAGGTGCTGTCTCGACATGTCAGAGTCGGCCGCTGACAGAGTAGGAAGGAAAATACACGATACGCATGGGGAAGGAAGACATGAATAAATGACAAATTACAAATGCTGTGTTTTCACCATAATATCTTGACTTCAGATTACCAAATTTCAAAATATAACAGGTTGGTGTCTCAGATTTAGAAATAGTGAGAAAGTGACATTTTTATCTTGGAATCCTGGAGTCAAGAGCGGCTGTGGTTCAGTGGTCAATGCGTTTGACTCTCGATGCTACAGTCGTGTGTTCGAATCCCACCGATTGCAAATGTTCGAACACAGCAGAGCGCAAAAAGGTTAGCTCTTCACTGACAGATTAGGATATCCCAAGGGGTTACGTTGTATATTCCAGCTGAAACATACGCTTCACTGGATTTTTTTGCGCTCTGTCCCTGTATATATAAAGGTGGGCGTTGGAACCAATTATAGTTGGTCGGCAAGCTGATAAACTGCCACCGTCAAACAAAAACTTGTTTCGAATATCTCCTCTAATGGAGAAGGCTATGTCCTTCAATGGGATGTCGAAGCCACGTAAGTGAATAAGTAAGTAATCCTGGAATCAGAATATCAAATTGTATCGAAATTTTGATCTTGGTCCTCATTTTGGTGTCAGAATTACGCTCGTTATTATTCACATAACCGCATTTAATAATATTGCGATATTGCGTAAGATCATTTGAATTGTGAGCTCCACCTATGGTATGAAGCTCCCTGATTTTTGTCACCGTAGTCTTCACACTCTTGGAGAAAGGCTTCTGCGCTAAATAAATTCGCTTGGTACGTGTGGTGAGGGGACACCCAAGCCTAGTAATAAATGCATATAATAGGGAGGAATTCGTCTTTATGCAAATATAAATTCACAAAAGCCTATGCCAGGAATAGAATTGGAGACAGTGCAGTTGTCTTTTAGTGTATTTCATATTTTCCTTTGATACTGAGGCGTTCCCAGACCATAATATGGTTCATAAGGTTCATAATCAGCTATCACAACAACATATTAATAGAATCTCACTGTATTAATGACTAACCATTCACTAAGCATTAAGTGGCCGAAGTGTAGTACACAATTGAGTGTAAAGTGCACAATAAAAAAAAAAACAGAAAACAGCACCTTTGTAATATTACTAAATGAGAAATATTACGATTCAAAAAAGAAAAAAAATTATAAAATTGTGAATTTTCATTAATGAATATTAGGATTTATTAAATGTTCGGACTTTCGTATGAAAGATCGATGCTCTTGCAGCATAGGGTTATGGAACTTCCAATTGGGATCTGAATTAGATTTTCATTTAATGATGGTTGCTAGATGGTGCGTGCGCAGTGTAATGTCAAGTACATGGAAGTGAAGTACTATTGATCCGGTGCAGACGCGTCGTGAGTCTCCGTTAGCTGTGATATGCGTGGCGTGTGAGTGTGAACCGACGGACGAGCGTGTCCTCACAAGCAGGTGAACATTTACGCCGCCTACGCTTCTAACTCCACGGTCGTCTTTTTTAGTTGCTTCACATGTGTTCTTTTATTTCTCCAACGTATTTGTTTCCTTTCCTTTCCCCGCGACCACAAACTCATACCATTGCGAAAGCCGGAGTGACTGAGGCTTCGCGCGCAAGGTGGCGTCACTCAGGATGTCTGTAAATATAGCGCTTGAGCAGCATAGCCGGCACATTTACCGTAAGTGAGTAAGATCAGCGTCATCACAGCGTCCTGGTGCGGTTCATTATAATTTGCCTTTGCAAGTATAATAAGTATACGACCGCTTTTTAATTAAAATCTCTAATAGGTGACTTCCTACTGCTTTTTTTATACCCACACAGTTTTGTAACACTAATTATTTTAGTAGCCGAAAATTATCCTATCTCTTTTAATTAAATGAGTTTTCAAAGTAGAATATTATTATATATACACTCAAAATCGTATAATGTTTTGTACAGTGTATAACGCATTCAAATTAAGTTATATTGAGAGAATGATTAACTAGACAGTTTGATGTTAAAATACAAACTTCCATTGGTGTGATGTAAGATTAGATCATAAAATGCTTTGTTAATTTCAATATATAATCTTTATGGCTGGGAGATCACTTTCCAATTATTCTATTATTTCCATAGCACTAAAAATGCATGCTTAATGGAACATCTTTTCAGGTACAGCAACCGTGCTGTTCGCTGGCAAAGGCGCTCAAGCCAAAGCAAAGGAACTTGAAAGCATTTCAGTTTGTACTGGGAATGCGATGTGTAAGTGAATTAGTGAATTTAATTGTGATTTCTAGCCGTGATGACGTAGGAGCCCGAGCAGGCCCGAATGACGTCCGAGGACCTGCTACAACCTGGCCACGTGGTGAAGGAGCGCTGGAAGGTGGTAAGAAAGATCGGTGGCGGAGGCTTTGGAGAAATTTACGAGGGACAGGATCTTATCACACGCGAACAAGTCGCACTAAAAGTAAGTACTCTTAAAACACGAACCTTTGCAGATTGTTTTTTTCTTTATTATGCCTCAAATAAAAATAAATTTAGATGAAAAACAGTTTAGTTTGGTTTTTTAAAATGACAGGGACATTTACAGTCATTTTCCTTCAAATTGATTACTATCTGATAGGCATTATTTAACTTGAACATAAGTCTTGGTGTGTCTTTTTTAAGTTCAAATAAATTGATTTTTTCTCTCGAGAAACAATCACAACAGAAGGAATCGTCAATTGATTCAACTGTCTCGCTCTCCTCGTAAATTTCAGTATTATCTGAATTGCAATGATCCTGAGGCACACCGTCAAGAGTGCCCAAAATTTTTGGAAAAACTTTTGAAATATCAGAATTATGATCGTTTGTGGGAACGGTGGGAAACTTCTGTGTTATCTTTGGAGTAAGTGCTGCTCCCGTAGGCAAATGAGTTCCAGAAAAAGTAGTGCGAGAATCCCATGGTTCGTGAGAGTTTTCTTGCGAATATTCATGTGAAGTAGTAATGGGCGTTTTGAGATAATCATCTGAACTGGTGTCACGATAACTTAAAAGTTCAATCGGCTTATAAAACGTATGTTCAAATGGTGTAGAAGCTTCCTCAGATTCTTTCCACTCATGTGTTGTGGTTTCCGGAATATCCTCATAATGAGGGTTCACAGTTGCCTTGCAGAATGTTCACTAGAACGATTCGGAGATCATACGTTCTTTCAGAGTTTTCTGCGAATTTATGGAAGTAGTAATGGGCGTTTTGAGATAATCATCTGAACTGGTGTCACGATAACTTAAAAGTTCAATCGGCTTATAAAACGTATGTTCAAATGGTGTAGAAGCTTCCTCAGATTCTTTCCACTCATGTGTTGTGGTTTCCGGAATATCCTCATAATGAGGGTTCACAGTTGCCTCTGCAGAATGTTCACTAGAACGATTCGGAGATTCATCACTGTTCTTTTCAGAGTTTTCTTGCGAATATTCATGTGAAGTAGTAATGGGCGTTTTGAGATAATCATCTGAACTGGTGTCACGATAACTTAAAAGTTCAATCGGCTTATAAAACGTATGTTCAAATGGTGTAGAAGCTTCCTCAGATTCTTTCCACTCATGTGTTGTGGTTTCCGGAATATCCTCATAATGAGGGTTCACAGTTGCCTCTGCAGAATGTTCACTAGAACGATTCGGAGATTCATCACTGTTCTTTTCAGAGTTTTCTTGCGAATATTCATGTGAAGTAGTAATGGGCGTTTTGAGATAATCATCTGAACTGGTGTCACGATAACTTAAAAGTTCAATCGGCTTATAAAACGTATGTTCAAATGGTGTAGAAGCTTCCTCAGATTCTTTCCACTCATGTGTTGTGGTTTCCGGAATATCCTCATAATGAGGGTTCACAGTTGCCTCTGCAGAATATTCACTAGAACGATTCGGAGATTCATCACTGTTCTTTTCAGAGTTTTCTTGCGAATATTCATGTGAAGTAGTAATGGGCGTTTTGAGATAATCATCTGAACTGGTGTCACGATAACTTAAAAGTTCAATCGGCTTATAAAACGTATGTTCAAATGGTGTAGAAGCTTCCTCAGATTCTTTCCACTCATGTGTTGTGGTTTCCGGAATATCCTCATAATGAGGGTTCACAGTTGCCTCTGCAGAATATTCACTAGAACGATTCGGAGATTCATCACTGTTCTTTTCAGAGTTTTCTTGCGAATATTCATGTGAAGTAGTAATGGGCGTTTTGAGATAATCATCTGAACTGGTATCACGATAACTTAAAAGTTCAATCGGCTTATAAAACGTATGTTCAAATGGTGTAGAAGCTTCCTCAGATTCTTTCCACTCATGTGTTGTGGTTTCCGGAATATCCTCATAATGAGGGTTCACAGTTGCCTCTGCAGAATATTCACTAGAACGATTCGGAGATTCATCACTGTTCTTTTCAGAGTTTTCTTGCGAATATTCATGTGAAGTAGTAATGGGCGTTTTGAGATAATCATCTGAACTGGTTCACGATAACTTAAAAGTTCAATCGGCTTATAAAACGTATGTTCAAATGGTGTAGAAGCTTCCTCAGATTCTTTCCACTCATGTGTTGTGGTTTCCGGAATATCCTCATAATGAGGGTTCACAGTTGCCTCTGCAGAATATTCACTAGAACGATTCGGAGAGAGATTCATCACTGTTCTTTTCAGAGTTTTCTTGCGAATATTCATGTGAAGTAGTAATGGGCGTTTTGAGATAATCATCTGAACTGGTATCACGATAACTTAAAAGTTCAATCGGCTTATAAAACGTATGTTCAAATGGTGTAGAAGCTTCCTCAGATTCTTTCCACTCATGTGTTGTGGTTTCCGGAATATCCTCATAATGAGGGTTCACAGTTGCATCTGCAGAATTTGAGTGACTGGTAATTATTTGAGTTGTGTCGTAGTGTGGGTGAAAGTTATCTAAAACTCCCTTTTTTTGAAATGAGTTTTTTATCCCGTGATTTGAATATGTTGTGCTATCTGGTGTCTTTAATAAGTACATTGGAATTCGAGTTTGCTGATGTTCACCGAAATCTTCTGTTGTTTTTTCTTCACTGGAAGTGATTGTTTGGCGCTTCGCAGTTGTTGTTGTGTAATCTATAGTTTTTCCACAGTTTTTATCATTGAACGAACAGTGATCGTATTGTCCAAATGTGTCTTCCTGCGTCTCATACGAAAAGACTTTATGATAGTTATGTTTGAGTTGAGATTCAATTACTAGATCGTAATTATCATCATATGTGTCGTACTGTCCTTTTACTTTGTCTGTCGTTCTTGTGTCATCTACTTTTTGTTTTAGCATGTACATATCCACTATCTCGTCAGAATTAAGATATTTGCAATGAACTTGATTTGTCGGTCGACATTTGTCGCTTGTTATATCATAGTACATTTCATTAGGACATTCGTATTGCATTTGATAAAAATATCCATTTGCTTTTGGGATACACGAGCAATAACGTGAACAATCAGTGGGACATCGAAAACGCCCTTGATACTTGCACGGTGGACACATAGTATGTTCTAAGTTTTCACTTGGATTACACTTTCCATAGTAAGAGCAACGATTGAGGTTGTTGTTAAATTCCGTACCTTGAGGGCACCTAAATATTTTTTGAACGAAATACTTTGAATTTTGAATACAAGTGTAATAGAAGGAACAGTTCGATGGTACGGAAAATGTTCCTGCGTGATCACAGTCAGGAACATCTACTGTGCCTTTGGACTCGTCGTGAATTTTAAAACTGGGCCTAACAGATTGATCAATCTCCTCGCAGCACTTTTTTATGTCGTTAAAAATTGCTAGTCCGGAACATCGGCCAATTACCACGAAATCTTTCTGGCAGAAATAATAGTAATTACTTTTTGTCGGGTGAATTTTTACGCCAATGTAATCGTGTGCGCATCTTGTGGTCTATATAAAAGAAAAAAATATAAGTAATATTAGAGTTGAAAATAATTTCTTTGATTTTATAAGAATATTATACTGCTAAAAATTACGTGGAACAGGATTCAGAATAACCAATGTGGAAAATTTATTTCTTAACATTCTGTACTAGTATAGATGTGAATTGAACTCACGTTCATACATACATAGGTACTATTTATATATTATATTTGACGTATAATATATAGTAAAATTATAAAATTTATATCAACTAAATCTATTACTTACATGATCTGTGTAAATAGCCCTTCCACCACCTGGTAAATCCCGACAGCTCTTTGACGTAACATTGAAAAATTTTCCATGTGGACAGACATTAGCCTAAAATGGATGAAAGTCGAATTTCGTATTCTTCAGTTAAATATAAGTAAATGTTAAATTGAACTTGTTTTACTCATATACAATTGCAGTTATTAAGTTATAAGTTATATTTTTCACAACCTCAGGGAATAAATATCTGGCATAGCTGTTACTTATAAATACTGTCACTCCCATTAAAATTATGACACAATTCATTTTCTTCTTTCGCGATTATTTCTAATCTTCACTTATTCACACCGAAACTTCTTGCGCAAAACTGCACTAAATCAGGTGACTAAGAAGTGCTTTTATACGATAATGTGTATCTTTTTGTTTACATTAAATACCCGTTTGACATTGTATATTTTATACTGAAACTTTGTTCAAGATCATGTTAAGCAAAACATACTTCAATAAACAACAAAACAATATAACTGAATTAGTAAACATTCGTAGCGTGTAATCTTTGTCATCATACCAATTTTATCATGAATTGCAAAAAAGCACGCTGTTGTTTTACCTGCTGCGATGATCACTAATTAGCTAAAAAAATGTTTATGTTTCGGTTAATAAATTTTTCTCTTGATGAGACGAAATTGTATTTTAGGAGTTGATATTGCAACACAATTACTACCAGTTCGCCCAAGAAACTTTAAAGTATCAAATCAAATTAAAGCATGAGGGGTGGTTACCTACATGCGTCGAATGTGATAACATCAAACGAAGGATTGTTTTTTTTGCCGGCCGTCTGTAAATGGAAAATGGACTTGGTCTTACTGCCGCTACAGTTCAGTGATGTCAAATCAAACCCCCCACCCCTGCGTCCGACATTTTAAACATATCCAACACACATTGATCTGGGCGTAGCCTGGCTCTATCTGTAATCGCGCAAAAAATCAAGTGTCGCAAAATTGACTAAAATGACATCAGGGAGGCTAATTATGACGAAATGTGATGAAAAATGTGGGTCATTTTTTTTGGTTTCCGTCCATCGGTCGGTCGGTCGGTCCCTCATAAATGGACTTGTAGCGCCTAAACGGTAAGAGTTATAGACATGTGGTTTTCACCAAAGGTCAAAAATCCTTCTGCCGGTTCAATTCGGTGATGTCAAATTAAACCCCCCACCCCTCCTTCCGCCAACTAGCATACAACCAAAAAACGTTTCATTCATTTGCTCAGCCTCTATGGCATGGATTTGGCTCAAATTCCAGTATGTTATAGCTGGCATCAAGACCTTTCTAACGAATTGCCATTTAAGGCCCTAGGCCCTTCCAGACCCTAGATATTAGGGTCCAAATTTTCAAAACTAAGAATATATATAACTTTAGTTCTAATCATCCGATTTGAATGGTTGAAAGCTCGTCAGATAGATCTCATAAAAAACCATAACCCATCCCAACATCATAAATTGGTAGGGCCACTGCTAGAGGCGCTAAAGTTTAAAAAACCATTTTCGAAATTTCAAAATCAAATACCTCGAAAATTTGAATGTCAATTTTTTTTTAATTTTAATATGTTGTAGCTGAGGTCGAGACCTTTCCAACGAACCCCTAATCATGAAGATTGAAAGCATATTTACCTGCCTCTATCTCTGTATTATTTTTAAGTCCAAAATTTTGTCCAAACTCAAAATATTTTGAATGAAATTTTTAGATAGTCCAGATTAAGACGTTTCTAAAATGTGCTCATTCTTTTTACCAATGCCATAGAACCTGAGAAATAACGGTTTAAACTTTGTCCAAGTGATTAGAGCGATGCTGTTCCGCTTTCATATTGCACGTTATGCGCCCTCTACTTATGCTGTTTTCTACTCTACTGAATTGCCTACTTTGTGACGATTGAAATCGAAGTCAGCATCGCGAACCAACCCAATCTACAATAACTTTAATCAAGTATATAACAAACTTTGAGGAACTTCATTTATGGTGGCTAAAGTAAATTTCCACAAATAATAAATAAATTAGATCCAATATAACTTTTGCTTAACTACAAATCGAGTCTGCCACATTTGGAGTGTGCAGCCTCGCCCAGCTCACCCATAAGGGAACCTACGCGTTCCCTTATCACGTCCTTTACTCATTTGTTCAGCCTGTTTGACATAGATGAAGCTCAAAGTTTAATATGTTATAACTGGCCTAAAGAACTTTTCAATGATTCCATATTTAAGGACTAAAATCCTTTCGGACTCTAGATTTAAAGGATCAAAATGCAAAACTTAAATAGTCATAACTCCTCTTTTATTATCCGATTTGAATAATTTGAAGCTCATTGGAAAGGTCACACAAAGTGTCATTCCTCACTTAAATAGCTTAACTCGATACAACAATCTCTGGAGACGCTAAAGTTGAAAAGGGATTTTCAAAAATTTTTTACTAAATATCTAGAAGAAAGTTATGCATTTTTTTTTTTTTAATTTAAGTATGTTGACAATATGTAAAGAAGCGTACTTGCGTGTGTATATTCTGAGACTGAAGTTTATTCCAATTCAACCGTTCCAACCATGTTCTAGCGGCAGTACGATTTTTGACCTTTGGTATTAAATAAACCGCATAATCGTTTAGGCGCTATTTAATCATTTACGTGGGATCGATCGACTGACTGACGGACCAACGGACGGAACCCCAAAAAGTGACCCCGCTCGTTTTCGTCATGTTTCGTGATGTTAAACCCCCCTAATGTAATTTTGGTATATTTTTCAAGTGGAGCCGGCTTTCGCCCAGCTCTAATTCATTCCTCTGGAACTAAAACCAATCTGGAATTTTACGACATAGAGTTTTAATTGGAGCCCAAGGGGTGTCCAAATGAGCTAATAATTATCAAATATAAAAAATTGTTAGATTGTATTATTCTCTATTTTATTTAACAATATTATACAGGCACCTATATTATACTGAGCAAGATTTAAAATACTTTGTTGGATTAAAAAAAATGAGACTTTTGCTAATTTATCTTTATGGATTTCGACTTTTGCGAACAGGTGGAATCGGCGCGACAACCAAAGCAGGTGCTGAAAATGGAGGTGGCAGTGTTGAAGAAGCTACAAGGAAAAGAGCATGTGTGCCGATTCATTGGATGTGGGAGGAATGATCGATTCAATTATGTAGTGATGCAATTGCAAGGAAAGAACCTGGCCGAATTGCGACGTGCGCAACCACGTGGCGCCTTTAGTTTAAGTACCACTCTAAGGCTAGGCATACAAATTTTACGTGCTATTGAGTCCATTCACTCTGTTGGCTTTTTACATCGTGACATAAAGCCAAGCAATTTCAGCATTGGTCGTTTGCCGTATAATTGTCGTCGAGTATATATGCTAGATTTTGGACTGGCGCGGCAATATACGACTGGCACTGGAGAAGTACGATGTCCACGTGCCGCAGCTGGATTCAGAGGTACCGTTAGGTAAGTAAAAACCATATGATGTTATTATATAAAATTTACGAGTTCTGATAATGGAGCAATTTTCAGTCACGAATGAATGTAAAAATGTGTTATATTGGTTTAACACATGCCTTCGCTATTATAAGTCACATTTGCGGCTTAATATAGCGATTGTTTAGAAATATTCATCATTAGTGTTAAAAATACAATTAGTTATTCTGCTTTACACATATGTGTTAAACCATTTTGTACCATGAGAAATGTTATTTTAAAACGATCTCCAGAGGTTGTTTTGACGTGTAAAATGTCGAGTGAGTGATCGAAAGGTGTAGAAAGTTTGAAAGATGGATTAATCTGTGACTGTGGCAATTATTTTCATATATGAACGTGAAAGATATTTAAAGTAAGTTCTTATTATAACAAATTTATATTTATAACCTTATTTTAATGAATTTTGGAAATTTCAGGAAGACAGCGAGCTGGTACATGCAATACAAGAGGGACAACAGCGATTTCTTTGTTATGCCGGAAAGTACTTTCCGGGATAAATTCCGGTTTCCTCCATGTGCCGTCCAGGAGCTTATAGAGGATTAGCAGCCACATGATCAGGAGGGTATATACACAGCGATACCTTTTTATAATAAGGTATTGGCAGCGCTTTACTTTGATGCGACAGGAAACGATCAATTCTGTGTGGGCTATAGCCACCTAATCCATCTAAGGCAGCCCTCACCTTCAAAGTGTATTGTATACATCTCGAAGATAATTGTTGATCACAAGGCACGAGAATGTATTAAATTTCCGGAAAAAAAACACTGATTACTCATCAATGTATGACGGAATTAAAGCCACTGAACTAAAACTCCTATTTACTACGCCACAACGTTTCGGAAATTTATTTCTCCTTCATTAGGTGTGTGGGTGTTTGGGGTGAAAGTTGGTCAAATTTCATCAAATCATCACCTTAAGTTGAGGCGAGAATGTGGATTGTGCAGCTCGTGGCAGTAGAAATAAGAGGTGGAGTGGCTTTTTGTTCACCAAAAGGGAACGAAGGAATGTCCTGGGTATATCCACTCATTGCACGAAATATTGCGGCATTTTTGTATTTCCGCGGCTTTTCAATGACGCTAAACCGCGCGTCCTTTTCAAGCAGAAAAGTGAAAACATTCACAAGACGGCGCTGATATCAGTGAAAACTGCAGTAGATGGCACAATCATAATTTTCACGACTTACCTTTACTTGTCATTAGTTAAACAATGTGTAATCATTTTAAACTCCCCAGAATTGTTTTAAAACGTTTTAGCGGGAATAGCAAGGGCTGTTTTCCTTATTCTTTAGTAATGTTAAATTTTTGCACATTTGAAAATTTAACACGTCTGTGTTCGGTTGGTATTCATTCCAACACACAGTTATCATTCCATATAGAAGTTTAAAAAAAAAACACGATAATTAGACTACCTCTAGGAATGCTGAATGCTCAAACAAAATATTCAGAATAATATACGTATATAAAAATGTGGATTAGCACACGTTTCGCGTGTAAAGCATAGGAATTATTAGCTGGTACACACATTTACATCAAAGCTAATATCTGTTTTCGCGCTAAAAATCGAACCTAGCAAAAACAACTCGAATCGACTCATGCAATGTTGGAATAACGAAATATGACGTAAATGGGGGGGGGGACACTTTTTTGATTTTCGTGTCTGTTTGTCGTTCCGTCCGTCCGTCCTTCCGGCGTGACAAACGGCCTTGTGGGGCCTAAACGGTAAGAGGTATCGACATGAGGTTTGCGGCAAAGGTTAAAAGTGTGCAGTGGTAATGAAGACTTTTTTTGGTCAAATCCAACCCCCCACCCCTCCGTCCGCCACTTTGAACACCCCCAAAATACACTTTCCTCAATTATTCAGCCCCATCTGGCATGAATCGGACTCAAATTCTGGTATGTTATAGCTGACCTCAGGACATTTCCAACGAACCGCCACTTTACAACCTAGGACCTCCCGGACCCTAGCTAAAAGGGTTCGAATTTCAAAAATAAAAATGGCCATAGCTTCGCTTCTAATTAATCGATCGGAATGATTTTGTATTCCAATCATAATTCCATAGAAGTAAAATTGGAACATTTGACAGCAATTTTAGGGCTCCCTTGATATTTGCCGTTGAAAGGCCTAATATTTTTCACAACTTTTGTATAATTTGCAAATAGTAGGGATCGATCATGAAACAGTTATGTACCGTTATATTTGTGTCCGACATTACCGACTGCACTACGGCCACTTCTAAAAACATGGCATAGAAAGAATAATTTTATTACGTAAGAATAGAAAATAAGAACCAATATCTAATTAACATTATACATTTATTACAGATATGCCAGTATAAATGCACATCGAAATCGTGAAATGGGCCGGCATGATGATCTTTGGTCGTTGTTCTACATGTTAGTAGAATTCGTGAATGGACAGCTGCCGTGGCGTAAGATTAAGGACAAGGAGCAGGTGGGCCTTATGAAGGAAAAGTACGACCACCGGCTTTTACTTAAACATCTGCCATCTGACCTTAAGCAGTTTCTCGAGCACATTCAATCACTTATGTATGCGGACAAACCAGACTACACGATGCTAGCCAGCCTGTTCGAACGTTGCATGAAACGACGTGGTGTAAAAGAAGCTGACCCGTACGATTGGGAAAAAGCAGACTCCGTTACCGGAACAACTGTGATAACGGCGAACTCACTTCAAAGTCAACTGCGCAATGAACATCTACATGTAACACAAATGACAGTAGCAGCCAGCAGCCACATAGAGGTCCCCCGGCCATCCACAACAGAACCTTTAAAAACTCCAGATCGTAACTGCAACACGACCACGCAGCCTTTAGCAGTACCACAACGCCCCCAAGTACCGCCCCAACGCCTACGAATTGATCAAACATCTGTTCGTACTCTGCCGAATGCCGTTTCACTGAATAGTCCTACAAAACGGATTGTAGTTGGCCCAACAGATGTAAGTAATCTTTTTATTACAACTGTAAGTGGTGTATAGTTAAGGCCGTTGAGGGGCATTCCTTGATGAATTCAAAATATAGGCATACAATGTGAATCTGGACCCAGGACTACTAGCTGACAAGCGAGAGCGCTGTCAACTTCTATAAAGCCGCTAGTGTTTTGTTTTTTTTTTTCTATATAGATTCCAATAAATCATTCCATGAGGTTTTAAAAATGAATCACAATTGTTCCAAAAATTTTTGGACTTCAGGGATTAGGAAAGAATGTGCGAAACGTTGATAAATTTAACGGATATAAACCATGAAAACGATTCCTTTGTTAATTCTTTTGAGTCATATCAGTATAAATACAAAAATAAATTAATACCTAATTTATTAAAGAGACTTGCGGTTGAAATTGGATTTATTAGACATTTTGACTCTAAATATCTAAAATATAATTTTTCTCGATAATAGATTAGAAATGATTTTTATTTTTGAACTTATTAGGTGTTTAGTGTGATTTCAGGCACAGAACTTGGGCCCGCCGTGAGCCCCCAGATGACAGCATTTATTCTGTCCTTGTCGCCTTGAACGTTATTCTGGTTAGTCCGCGTATTGTTCAACTTTAGTCGGATCCGTTGGAACGGAATCTGCTGTCATACGCATGTTTATGCTTGTGATGGCTGTGATGCAGCTTAGCTTTATCCAATTTGATAAAACTTTGTTTTTATTCTTCACAGCAACCGCATGCAAAAACGCACGAACTAGAGGCAAAGAACAACGAAAACACACCGCCCAAAAGCGCAGAGAAAGGGAATGTAGGTCGCTTGAGAGTTTTAACAGCGCCACCAACCAGTGTTCAAGATTTGGGTGAGTTAAACAAATTTGTCTCTTACCTAATATTCTAACATTTAATCTCGTACTACCGCTTGGTGCGCTGAGTTCAAAAATAACTTTTAAAATTTTAGTGCTATGTGTAAGAAGTTGAGGCCTTTCCAATGACCACCCGACTATGAAGGTCAAAGTTTTTGAGAGTGGAGGAATTGTGGTTCAAATTCACACATTTACCAACAAATATTTTTGTTAATTATAAACTAATTTCATACATATTTTCACCAAAAGATGTTACTCAACGCCCTTTTAGTAATAAAAAAATAAAAATCATTCCGATCGGTTCATTAGAAACGGAGGCCAATTAATTTTTGAAATTCGAACCCTTTTAGCTAGGGTCCGGGAGGTCCTAGGTTGTAAAGTGGCGGTTCGTTGGAAAGGTCCTGAGGTCAGCTATAACATACCAGAATTTGAGTCCGATTCATGCCAGATGGGGCTGAATAATTGAGGAAAGTGTATTTTGGGGGTGTTCAAAGTGGCGGACGGAGGGATGGGGGGTTGGATTTGACAAAAAAATCTTCATTACCACTGCACACTTTTAATCTTTGCCGCAAACCTCATGTCGATACCTCTTACCGTTTAGGCCCCACAAGGCCGTTTGTCACGCCGGAAGGACGGACGGACGGAACAACAAACAGACACGAAAATCAAAAAAGTATCCCCCCCATTTACGTCATATTTCGTTATTCCAACATTGCATGAGTCGATTCGAGTTGTTTTTGCGAGGTTCGATTTTTAGCGCGAAAACAGATATTAGCTTTGATGTGTATCCCAGCTAATAATTGGAGTCAATGATCCTCTAAAGGAAATGGTTTCGATGTTCAGTAGAATATAATTTTAACATACTAATTTGCAGACTTTAACTTAAAAGCGAGTCTGAATGAGAATCCAGTCTTCTGGTGTAATATGTTATACGACGAAGTAGCAATCTGGAGGCTTTGGAATCAAGATTTGGGCAAGACAAGTGGTGGATAAATATTTTCACCTAGGTCTTGGTCAGAAAGAAGTTAATAAGGTTAAAAGTGAGGTCTCTAAATATTGATTTCCTGTCGTTACAGGTAGTTGTACAGATACAGCAGCTTCACTACCCACGGCAGTAGGTCGTGGCATGCTGAAGAGTTTTGGTGGACGACGATCCAGCGGAATGCGACCGGGTTGCCGACAAGTGACACGAGATCACAGTGTGACTCAGTTTGCCGTTATTGATGATGAGAATGTGTCAGCACTTCAGCAAATCACTCGAGGTGGTGCAGCACTTACTCTAGCATCGCAATGGAAAAGTCAGTTTGACGATAGTGAAGAGACTACAGATAACGAGTGGCGACAAGAACCACATAGTCCACAGCCATGGCGTCGGCGTGCTCGTCGCACCCACCTTAATATAACAGGTATTGAAAAGTACTCACAGCTGCAAGATTACTTACCACATTGTTGGAGTGAACCGGCGCTCGGTGAAATCTTGCGACATCATCTGACACCGCCACTATTGCAGCAAGCGGCCTTTGATAAGACGGTAAGTATTAGTTCCTTATGGTTAAAACATAATGTTGTTTTGCAGATTGTACAGAACCCCGCTAGATTCATTATAAAAAAAAATGTGAATAAGCACAGGCTTCGCGTGTGCTTATGATATACTAGCTGGGATATGAAAATTTCTCTCACGCGAAGCCTGTGCTTATTCACATTTTTTTTTTCATTTCGGTAACATCACTCTCCACATCCCATGCGTCCATCGACGTCATAGCTTTGCTTCCATCCGCCGGGGCAATACGATGGAAAAGTCCCATTATTGGATGTATAATGTTGTCCTAAAAGTACAATATGCATGAAGGTATGAGTTTACCTGTGAGTGTGCGGCAGAAAGATTTTAAATTTGCGGTATAGGTATAAAAACTGTTTGACCCACACTAGGTAAAGTAAATCAAATGTACAGAAACAATATAAAAAGAAAGACTCATATGAATAAAACGAGTTGCAAGTCTCGAAATAAGACGTACAGCGCCAGATTGACGGCATCAAAATAGGCAAATGCATACATGTCGCGGCATTGTTATAGAAACGCAGACGTGGCTAGGACAATGCAAAGCGCGATCAGAGGAACACAGAACAAGATCAAATAAAGGTGAATCATACATAGACAGATGACAGAAGGCGGACCACGGTTCTAGGATCAATCTCCCGCCACCAACGACTAACCCCCAATACCGTCAAAGGCTCCTCCAAGCGAGAGATGTTGTTCATAATCAAAGGGGCACGATATGAGAGAGTTCTTCTAAATTGTTCATGGAATGGCATCGGCATATCTATTTAGCGATCTCTGGCCCTACGATCTCTCTCCAACAGAAACTGGGCTCCTAAACGTCTGAAGAATATGTCCTAGGCTATATAAATATATCTGTGTGTGACGGAACAAAGGCCAGAAAAGCTCAACTCCTTTTCACTCTGTCACGACGTTTCGGAGCTATTTATTTCTCCTTCATCAGGTGTGCGGGTGTTTGGGGTGTAAGTTGGTCAATAATCTTCAGATCACCACCTTTTAATCTCACTGCCTCAAGGTTGATGAGAGAATGCTGATCGTGCAATTTGTGCTTGTCGTGCAACCTCACTTTTGCTTGGTGCTCGTAATTTTCTTATGGAAAATATTGAAGTTATTTCGCAAAGTGCTGTTCTGTGCTGCATCGCTGTATCACGTTAATCAATTTCTTCGTTGAAAAGTGAGGAAATGCACACGAAAATTACTGATTAGAGCAGAAATTTCGAGAAAAACGTTTTGCGCGGATCTTTTCGCTGCGCGTCAAAGAAGCTTCGCTTCTAATTAATCGATCGGAATGATTTTGTATTCACTGGAAAGGTCTCGTAAAATGCCATCTCCCACAAAAACAACATAACTTGGTAGGACCACCGCTAGAGGCGCTAAAGTTAAAAAAACCATTTTCGAAATTTCGATAACGAATACCTCAAAAACGAAATCATGTATTATCTTTCAAAATTTTACTGTTATTTAGAACAACAGAATTTTATATGTCCACCACCAGATGCGCTAATGTGTCAAAGGCATTTTGATTGGAATTTTAGAGTCAATAATTTTATTTTCAAGGGCATCCTACTTTGATATAATCCCTAAGTATTTCGAAAGTCCATTGCGAGGCGTTTCCAAAATGAGGTTATACTTGTCTGTCGAAGCCATAGAAACTGTTCGAATTTCATGAGCTGAATTTCATATTGCATATGAAAATTTCCGTGTTTTCTTTCCTTGTACTAAATCGAGTTGGCCACGGAAGAGAGACATTTTTATATCCGAGCTAGAAGGCGTAGCAAACGCGACGTGTGTGCTTATCAACATTTTTTTTTAAGATTTGTATTTTTGGCGACAAGAATGTACGCTCATTTGGCCCTCAGATTTCGAGTCGGTGTGCTCAAGACTACATCGCAACATTGTCTTCTAATTATCTGTTTTGGTCAAATTTTTATATTTTGAGAGCATTTAAAAAATTTAACAATATTTTGTATAAATTTAGTTACAACATTTTCTCAATATTACTGCATTTTCATCTACTTTAGGTATTTCAATTGGACATAATGCGGAACGTGGGAGTATGCGTTGTAAGTCCTGATCTCCAGACGATCCCCGCGGTGCTGGCGCCGGCCGTGGGTAGTCTTCCAAACATGGCGCTGCAGGATTTTTCTCCCCCTGACGAGCCAGTCTCGGTAGAATGCGCTGTAGCCGGCAAGCTGGAGATTCGCGTCTTGCCACTAGACCTCAAACAGCGCCCTCACTCAGTGGAAGAATGAAGCATTTGTACGAGGGGAAATGATATCGCCGTTCGGCTCAGACACAACACCAAATAAATGAGGCAGTGTTATTTTAAAAGTCGTGTGTAGTGTGAAATAAATGCAACAAAAACAATGAGTATAGTTTGGAATTACACCTAAATGCATTTTACTTATTCTCTTTCTGGCTATGATACAGTTTGACTTCAAGATGAAAATAAATACTTAAATTCTCACGTTACAAAAATACGCAATGTGATCTCATCTAGTCCTCAGCGCATTCCTCAGAATCGGCGTCGATAAATTCGACATGTGTAAAAGGAAAATGACCTATTTTGCCACGTAGTTCACCTTCCCACTGGCCGTTAATATTCATCTTCGTCACCTTTATCACATCGCCCATCTCAAGTTTGAGAGCAGTTTTGTCATAAGCGTTTGGCACGCGTGGTTGCTTAACACGCGCGTGCGCAGGAAGGCGTCTCTGTAATACAAAAAAATATTATCAATTATTATAGTTTATCATTATTTTGAAAAATTACATAATAAATAATTGAAAGAAATTTTTGCATAATGTAATGCCACAAACAGATATTTTCAAGAAATATAAGTCGTAATGAAAAAAAAACAAATACATACACATTGTTTCGGATATGATTAGGTGAGGCAAAACGGCAAATTTGCCATGTGGTGAAATTGATTTACATCTAAACGTTAAAATAAAGCATTCAAATTCTATAACTTGCAGCAAATTCGCGATAGCTCGATAGGGCGGGTACAATTCCTAAGAATGGGCTCCCGTATGTGCGGATCGACAGGCGAACTTCAAACACTTAGTTCGCGTGACCTCTGGTGACAACTCATGTCATCAATCTATAGGTATCAATCGGTGGGTCTTCGATTGTACGCCTGAATTTACTACATACTGGGATTTACAACACAGAGAATAAGTCAAATCTTACAATATAATATAAAATAGACCCAAGAAATCTAAATATTACGACGAAAAAGTGCACAATTTTTCAAAATCAGTTCATTACGGTGTTAAAAAGGATTAGAGGGCCCTTAGGAAACAATTCCTAATGGATCTTAAAAGCAGACACAATGGAATTCGCCCAAAACAACTGAGCAATGTATTGAAAAAGATAATCGCGTTCTTATCCGCGACATTTTTCCCGCGGAATTGAAGTTTGTTGGAAAAGTTCACACACACACACACACACACACACACACACACACACCACACACACCACACACACAACACACACACATATGTATATATATATATCTATATATATATATATATATATATATATATAATATATATATATATATATATATATATATATATATATATATATTGTTGTGACTGAAAAACACCGCGCCATCCGCCCAGCAACACCGAGAGGAAAAGGAGCTCTACGACTGATTTCGCCGAAAAACACAATTCAGGACAACATTACTAGGCGTTACTAGTGAAGACCAATGGCCAGTGAGTGTGTGGATAGTTCTTCTTCTACAATGCTATCGGGGTTCATCAGCGGCGGCTTTCCGTGTCTCTGGGACTGTGATCAAGTCGCTCCCTACGGGTGAGCGTCCTTCGAGCCGCCTCTGATGCCTAAGACGCACGCCCCGCGCGTCTCCGTCTCCTCGTTCGCGAGTTGAGCCATCGCCGCTCTTTCCTCTTCAGGGAGAGACGGCTATCCCCTTCAGGGATGCAACCCCTCATTAGACAAATGGAGGGCTTTGTGAGGCCAAGAGTGATAATTGGCGTGTATTTGGATTTGGGCGCTCAGGAAAGTCCGCTTAGGCCCTGTCCTTCTGGCCACCTTTGCGGGTGAAAATCCTGCACTATATATATATATATATATATAGTTTTACCGTACCATCTAATAAGAGTGGGAAAATTATGCAACGCGAGTCGCTCAGATGTCTACAATTTTTTTTTTAAGTTAAGAAAATAACAGCTACAGGAAGAAATTCACTCTCTTGAACGCAATACACCGAGGAGGATACACATGCAGACGGGCGGAGCTCCAAGGGTGGCGGAGTCCCAGGCGTTGTGAGAGTGGTAGCATCTTACCGGAATGCTCCTTTGCGACTTAGACTCCCGAAGCCCATCATAAAGTTTTGATGCAGTGAAATTATGGAGTATAAATATGATGACCCTCTTTTATAGTGGCCTCCAGCAGTTTGGTATGGCCACATAGTAAATTTAATGGTTAATATACCCTTTTTATTCTTAACAAATTGCTTTAGACTTAAAACACTTTTATGATCCTTTGTACTCTTAAGCCTCTTATTAGCCAAAACACATTTTTTGCGCCTCCCAATGAACTGTAAGATACAAACATTCAAGAATGTGCGCATATCCTGATCATATCTGAGCAGAATGTGGTGAAATGTTATCAAGAAATTATCAAGATTATGCTCTAAACAGGCGATAAATCTGCTCAATATTGTGGCGAAATAAGAGCGTCTGTATATGTATGAGCATACATAAATTATTGCATCATCCGCCGTAATCGCTTCTGCACTCATATATTGTCTGAGCGCTGTTTTATATGGGTGTTATGTGGATGGTTTATATGGGGTGTTGCTTGATTATAAGAATTTTGATTCAGCAGTCAAAAATCTTATAGCTGATTTTAGCATTATGTTTCACATGCTGATTTTAGGTCAATGTATTCGCTGGGATTATAGAATTTGAGATATTATTTGACTTTTGATACTAACGTGTAGGTTTGACTTCTTCATGTGTGCTTCTGGTGGAGCGTGTGTTGTTACAATTGGACATTTCTCGTCTATACGTTGAACGTAAGGTACAGGAATTTGCCCCACCTGTCCTTGAATGTTGCGCGCCGTCCACCACTGATCTTCATCTTTATTCAGCACGTACAGTACGTCACCTTTGCGGAACGGCAAGTCGTCCTGGTCCTGCAATAAATAAACTATAGGGTACTGATTGAGCGCGGCAAATCGTACCATAAAGCGGCACAAGATGATTTGAGCCACGCTTGTTACACACTTAAAACAAAAAATTGCTAGCTTTGGAAAAGGTTATTGAGAACTATCACCTAATTAATCCTCTAAGTACAAAATGCTCCGATGGAACTGAAAGAAACACCGAATTTTTAGCACCAAAAGGAAAAATGGCCTAAATTTCATAGCTGTCCTAACTTAATTTTCGCTACTATACACCCCAGTTGGTTGACAATCACATTATGAATTAATACAAAAGTTGCAAGATAGGTATGTCACAAAAACAAAGAAAATGTGGTAGCACTGTATCATAAAGCTAGGAAACATCTGAACACTTTTCCTACAATTTCATTGAAAATAATTATTTGATACATCAAAATCATCATTCCGTGCCAGCTCCTTTAGTCGATCACTCATTAATTTTGCTTCTAAGTTTGAATTTTCAGTAAGGAAATTATTGTAATATTTGGTGGGAGTGAAACTAAGACCTCTGGTTCCATACTTTGTGGTGTTAGGCTTAGTGTGATCCAGTAGGTGAGATTGTCTGGTGTATTTCTTGAGATTTTGTACGAGAGATATAAATTGAAATCAGCCAGTTTTATTCTGTTTAAAGTTTTGAAACACTGTAACATTTCAGTTTGAGACGTTTCTAAAATAAGATTATACATTCATATTGAAACCATAGAACTCAAATTAAGACGGTTAAATTTATATGTTCATGTTTCGCGAAGCGTATGCTTATCCACATTTCTAGGCACTGTAATTTTCATTACAGGTATTATTTCCGTTTTTCTATTATAATATAAAATAATTAGGATATTCGTGCAAAAAGTTTTGGCATCAGCTACTAAATAATTGAATTTAAAGAAAATATGTATATTTTTTCAGAACTTTTGAAAATATTTTTTTTGCTATATAAGCGCGTCTAATTGTGGCTGTATGAATTCAGATGATCATTCAGGAGCCGGAGTTAAGGACCCTAAAGTTGCCACAATAGACCGATACGGTCACAGTGGCGGGGGCGATCAGACGACCCACCCGTTTGCAAATCTAATTCAAAGACCTCTTATTTACATTCTAAACCATTTTACTCAGTCAATAAGAAGCGAAAGTCTAACATATGTTTTTTAAAACTAGGATCCTGAGATACCTATTTCTATAAATTAGGATTTACGGGAGAGGTCTTGAGCCAATTAATTATACAAATTTACTGTTGATTTTACGTTTTAAGACAACAAGTTTCACCATTACTTATAGTAAAGAGATTGCTAATGTGGGATTTGAGTGTCACAGCATATCGGCATCTCCGTGCATCTTGACTGCAATGCAATGTACGAAGAGGCAATTTAATCAATTTATTCGAAAAATTCCGATCCGGCGTAAAAAAAAAATCTCGTGAAACACTTACGTTTAGGGAAACGTAAGTGTTTCACGAGATTTTTATTTTACGGAGGCTAGGGAGCCTCCGGACATCCTGGTATATTTAAATACATAATTTAGTTAATAATTATTACTGCACCCCTACATCTCGGCATCTCCGGTGCATCTCGACTGCCTTTCGGACCAAGTGACACAGCATCACCGACATTAGCCACCCCTTGCTTTTAACCTAATTGTGTACTATTAAGTTGGCTTTTGTACCACATTCGCGCAATAAAATTACTTACGCTGCCGTCAAAGTCAAATTTGCCAAGTACACACTCAATACGTTTAGCAGCAGGTCTACGAAGTGGCGTAGTATCAAGATAGTGCAGTTTATAAAAATCCAACAGTTCGGGTAGATCAGCAAAAGATTGATCTCCAATGCGAAAAACAACTCGTTCGCCTTGGACGATGCGGTTGATAATATAGTGGCTGACCTTGGCGTCCTCGCGCACACATAGCACAAAGTCACCTATTATGGTAGCGGAGTCTCGAACAAGAAACACACCGCCTTCCCGTTCGGCCATGAGTAACTCCGTAGCTTCCTGGCGTGTCATGGCGCCGAAGTACCAACCATTTCGGTCATGTATGTCAAAAGAAAGCGCCATGCCGGCGCAGCAGCATCAATACTATCACTGGGGCCTCAGTATAGTTGTCAACCTATTTTAATCTCCTCATAACTACATTGCAAGATGTCAATAAAGCGTCGTATGATTCTCACAGGACAGCAAAAATGATTTTTCCGTGACATACTCCAGACCTATTTTAAAATTTAACACACTAAATTGGCCTACTGCACTGGGCTCAATTATTCCCAATTAACCATGAAAATAAAGTAACAGATATCACTTAACAAATTTTGTCTATCATCACCCACTTGATAAAATTCTGTGGAACTGCGTGTCGTACCATATCCATTGTTTTTCCATTTGATTCGTCCTATTTTTGGATGGGACGAACGTCTTATGCTATGCAATATAACATCCATTGGACGCGTGGGACGTCTTGTGAGAAATTTAGTATGAAAACGGTAGGCGCTCAGTTGCTGTTTCACATGGTATGTAAGCGTTTCAAGAAATGGATACGCGTCGGTAATAGATGTGAAATCTTTTCAGATTTGAATAGAATAGAATAAAAATTATGTTGTTTTTTTCCCCTCCCCTCCATATAAGGTCTTTAGAGCTTTGCTTCATTTTTGACCAACACATATTTTAGAGTGTCAACTACACTTACAAACATATATTGTGGGTCTTTAGAAACTTCACAATTTCCAACAACGGACCACTACACTTCTCCTCCAACGTGCATGCCAATATATCCCTTACAGAGCAGCTCGCACCAATCTCCCCAAACACCCTCGTCAGTGTGCTCCTTCCCTCAACATATCTCCCACATTGAAACAGCACGTGATCCACATCTTCAGGGACCAAGAAGATCTCACAGTTCATCTCCTCAACTATCCTGATACGATAGAGATGTGCCCTCAATCTGACATGTTTTGCAATTATTCTACTTATACAGCATAATCCCTCTCGACTCCTGTGCACCTGTTAGCACTTCTATGCTGCCAGGATGAGTTGAGACCATTAGTCCAAGACATACACGTAATGATCGCCATTGAATCCTATACAATTTCACTAGGTGGGTCCTCTCCGCGCCTCTAAATACAAACGCTCCGTACTCAAGCACCGTTCTGACTGTAGTTATATACAGAGTCTGCAATACTGCAGGATGACACCCCCATCTGGTACCACTCACCGCTCTCATGAAATTCACTCTCTTGTTGCAAGTCTTCACTATATTTCTGATTTGGGCACCCCAGAGACACTTAGAGTCAAATATGACACCAAGGTACCTAAATGTTCTCACTTTCATGAGGTTCAGCTCGTTTTTCTGCGACCCCTATCACTATATCGTGGGATAGAGGATTCTATTCTACGCACAAACAAATTGTAGCACAAAGGAGCCAGCACAGATCCCTGGGGTAAGCCAACAAATCCCGTTCTAGTCGTCACTCTTTTCCTGCCATCATAGAATTCCAGTCGTCTTTCCGACATGAGCCGTCTCAGGAGAGTGCCCATCTTCATAGGCAATCCTACCGCCACCAGATATCGACATAAAACATTCACCAATACTCCATCATACGCCGACGTCACATCCAAGAAAACACAACCCAACATCTTCTTTTCACACCATGCTATTTGTACCTTGGCATATAAGGCGGCCAGGCAATTTTGAGTACCCATTGCTCTGCGGAACCCCATTTGGGAGTCAGGCAGGAGATTTTTATCCTAGCTCCAAGATTCCAATCTTTTTAATATTAATTTCTCAAAAACTTTGCTTACAGTTGAGAGTATACAGATTGGGCGGAAGTGTGACACCATTGAACCATCCTTGTCCGGTTTCTTAATTGCTATGACACGACCATCCAGCCATGTGTCTGGGATAATAGACAGTGACATGAAATCATTAAATATGCTTAGCAGCAAGCGAATCCCTTTGCGTGGCATATTTTTTATAAAGCTCATTTTTATTTTATCTAGGCCTGCAGCTTTATTTTTTGTCGATAATAATGCCACCATTAATTCCTCCATTTCAAAGCTTGACCAATATGGAATCATGGAAACAAACATGGAATGGCCTGCCCGCAAATGGAGGGGCCAGCTTGTCAGCAAATCCTTCATATAAATTTGGATGCATAGATCCTTTTCTACTCTTATTTTGGCCTAGTAAAGTTAGTAAAGTATTTTGACCTAATAAAGAATTTCACAACGTTACTTATGCTCTTTAATTATTCTTTATTAACATTACATTTCTTCCACCCGTTTACTTTAACAAGATTTTATTAGCTGGGATATACATCACAGCTAATATCTGTAATCGCGCTAAAAATCGAACCTCGCAAAAACAACTCGAATCGACTCATGCAATGTTGGAATAACGAAATATGACGTAAATGGGGGGGATACTTTTTTGATTTTCGTGTCTGTTTGTTGTTCCGTCCGTCCGTCCTTCCGGCGTGACAAACGGCCTTGTGGGGCCTAAACGGTAAGAGGTATCGACATGAGGTTTGCGGCAAAGGTTAAAAGTGTGCAGTGGTAATGAAGATTTTTTTGTCAAATCCAACCCCCCATCCCTCCGTCCGCCACTTTGAACACCCCCAAAATACACTTTCCTCAATTATTCAGCCCCATCTGGCATGAATCGGACTCAAATTCTGGTATGTTATAGCTGACCTCAGGACATTTCCAACGAACCGCCACTTTACAACCTAGGACCTCCCGGACCCTAGCTAAAAGGGTTCGAATTTCAAAAATTAATTGGCCTCCGTTTCTAATGAACCGATCGGAATGATTTTGTATTCATTGGAGAGGTCTCGTAAAATGGCATCAACCATTCCAACATCATTACTTGGTAGGTCCACTGCTAGAGGAGCTAATGTATAAAGAAACAATTTTTGAAATTTCGAGAACGTAACGATGTATTTTCTCAAAATTTTGAGTTTTATCGCGATTACAGATATTACCTGTGATGTACATCCCAGCTAGATGATCTGACCAGCCCTTGACCTAGAGAGTCCACATTGAGCGTGTTAGAGGGGATCTTCAGGGGCTTACTCGCCAAATGTATGCACTCAGGACTGTATGCGGAGACCACCTTATCCGGATCGTCTACTTCGCGCTTGTGGAATCCAGGCTTGGATATGATTTAGTTCTGTGGGGCAACTTCTGTGATTTCCACTCGCTTCGCTGATAAGGACCCAAAAGTCTCTCGTCCAGGCGATGTCTTTTGTCTGTGGCAGTGACCACTCTTACCCCTATTTGAGAGGTGAGAGATTCGTCCGCTTCAGGCCCTATATGTGGTCAGGATCGCTGAGAAGTTTCAGAGGTGCGGCGCGACTCCTAAAATGACCTTCACCGCTGCTGCCAGCGGCAGGGATGAGCCTTTTGTGCAGCCAAGGCCCCTGTACGAGCACTTTAAGGGGTCGCTGAACTTCTCTGCACCAACGATCTTCAATAATTTGTTACGTGAGCTTGGGTCTTTCTCACTGAGCAGAACCACCGTGAGGGTTTGGCTCCATGCCGCGGATTCTGCACAGATTGGCCAGGTATTGGCTCCTGCTATGGATAGCGGCGTTCGCTGCCGGACGTTAAACCCCGATCAGAGCCAAACAGCCTCAATGGCTAGGTTCTCCGCCGCCTCCAACGTATATTTTGAAATATACAACCAATGAAGAGACTTATCCATGGTTTTTCCTGGAGTTTGGTCGACAACGCTAAGACGACGATGGCCGCAAATAAGGCTATGATAAATGTAACCGCTGTGTGAAGATTTAAAAACGGAACGGCCTTTTCTTTGCTCTCACTCTTTTTTATTCTGCGCAAAAAAGAGTGAGAGCAAAGAAAAGGCCGTCCCGTTTTTAAATCTTCACACACAATCCGGCTGATTAATATCACAATCATAACCGATGTGATTAAATAAATATAATGTAATATAAGGAATTTATGAAGAAAACAATTATTCATGAATGTAAAGTTATTGGTCACTTAACACCAGTCAAAACATAATAAGTCGAATGCCCATGGATTAAAAAGCAGTGTAATCAATTGAATAAATAAAAGAAAAGAACTAGGAAAGAACTGGATTATTATAGGGGAAATATTTTCTAGGGGAAATCGTAGCTGCATCAGGATCAAGAGCCTAACGGACAGGTCTATCAGCAGACAAGGCCGCTAGAAGATCAACAATCCGCAGATAAACTGGACGACACACGCATATACCCACCCGGAATGGACATCTAGAATGAGAACCACTGGCAATCACTGCGAGCACAGAAATACATCGGAACGCGCACAAAATCACTAATCCTGTAGAGTTTGAGGAGATAAAAGCCACCAACCATAGAATTCCGCGCCAGTACACACGACGCGTGTTCTCAACCACTGTCCTCAACCACCACAATATACAAATATAGGTACTACATTGTTACGATCACGTGCGGTGAAGGTAGCCGCTCCAGAACAGTTTCCAAGTGAATCTGAAATTCATGAGTACAACACCTCCCTGATCGTCGTAAAGAGTCACCCGAACAACTCGACAGAGATTTCGCTTTGCGGTGAGATTGATATTGGCTTGCAAAAGCCCTCGCAATTCAATTATTTGACCTATTATTATTATTACAATGGTACGGGAAGACCACGATATATACGGTGGTCTAGGGCCCTGCGGCTGTAAAAGCCTATTGTACCCAACCTGAAGGTAGGTGCCAGACACTTCCAGGCCAGTCGCCTTGGCGAGGGCCAGGAAACTCTAAAATCTGAAGCCCCATGTCGCTGAGGGAGAAACACTCATTGAGTGTCCAAGAACTCCAGCCTCTGCTCTGAAGGAGCCGGGAAGTGACGATGTCACTCCCATTGACAAGTTCTTTTTGTTTTTACGGTGACAGATTGTCAGTTTGCCACCAACCATAAGTGGTTCTAAGGCGTCACCTATATACAGGGACAGAGCTCAAGACAATTCCAGTGAAACGTATGTCTTTCAACTGGAACATTCAACAGCAACTACCGTATGGGCGTTGCTTTTGCCGTTGAAAGGCTTATTTTTGCACTCTGCTGTGTTCAAACGTGCAAGTCGTGGGATTTGAACACACGACTGTCGCATTGGGAGTTAGGAACGCTAACCACTGACCCACAGCCGCCCTATAATTATTTGTCCTAAGACATCAACGCGTCAAAACGTTTGTTTCTGTACACCATGGCGCTGAGGCAGATTGCCGGTGGAAGCGAGCAGAGGCGGCGGTGTGCGGCTCATTAAGCCCCTTTCTAGCGGCCCTTTTTCTCACCCGTTGCTACCCAGTTCATTCCACCCGAGGATGGATTCTTGTGAGAGTTACGACGACGGCGGGAGGTGTCCACGACGAGACCAGGAGTGCGCCGAAGAGACGCCACGTGTAAGGCGTGTTGTACAAACTAGGACACGGAATAAAGTCATCTCCCTTTGAAAAGTCAGTTTTTCTTGCCTGTATCAGGGTAATTAACTATTTATGAATTTCACATGTATTTATACATGAAAATATAATGTATTATATTTTTCAATTCTAATGATTTACATTGTTTTAGTTTTCTCAAGCTATATCACCTTTAAGCTTTCGCTTAAGTGACTCGGGCATCTCCGGCGGTGGAGGTCTTGGCATACGCAACCACACCTTAACAGCGTCGTAGATGAACCATTGAGCAGCCGTGAGTGTACCGATCATTACTATGCGTGGCATTAGACCTTTCCATAAGCCTGCAAATCCTAGTTTTTTGGCTACCTGGATGGCTGTGGATCCTTTTTCTTGGTTAAGTTTAGATACGACAGTGTCCGCTGGGTGACTAACAATAGCACAGAATACACCCGCAATATATCCAGCAGCAAAAGTAACGATCAGTTGTTCCCCTTTAGTGCATTCGGCTCTAGGCTTAGGCACTACGTACTTGTATAACAATTCGAGGGTACGTTCAAAACAAGCAAACTTCATCATGGTGTAAGGAATTTGTCGCATCCATAGAGGTACAAGACCCTTGTAAAACGCAGTCATTCCCTCGTCCTTCATCATCTTGGGTAGGGCCTGGCGTAATGTGTCAGCATAACCTGGCATAGTCTGGATTCTCACCTGTAAGGTAAATTTTCAGTCAGCAGTTTTTTTCATAAGACATAGTGTCAAGAAAAAAAACTTATAAAATAGTTGATTGGACATATGGGCAAAAATGCCCGTTGCCATACAGTGACAAAATTTAAAATAAATTGGTATAGCAATCTAATCAAAAGATTTTTACAAATCAAATTCATGAAATCTTTGCGTTGGAAGCAACCATCTTGATTTATTGATTTTGTTTGTCACAAGAAATTTCTTACAACTCCTTGATGGTGTTTATATATACACACATACATACACACACACACATACACACACACACACACACACACACACACACACACACACACACACACACACACACACACACACACACACACACATATATATATATATATATATAATATATATATATATATTATTATATATAATATATGTATATATATATATATATATATTATATATTATATATATATATATATATATGGATACGTATTCGTAGATTCGTGGGTTTTTCTTGACTGTTATTGCTTATCCATCGCAGGACCGACTAGGCATATTAAAGCCAATTGTGCCATTGGATTCGATGAATGTGCGGATTGGCATATCGTGGCACATTGTCAGTTTGCCGATCAACCATAAGTGGATCTAAAACTTCTCCTTATATACAGGGACAGAGCGCAAGACGATTCCAGTGAAATGTATGTTTCACTTAGAACATTTAACAGCAACGACCGTATGGGTGCTGTTTTACTATTGAAGGGCTTTTTTTGCACTCTCCTGTATTCAAACTTGTGCAAGAGGCACGCTGATCACTCAGCTACAGCCGCCCTATGTATATTTATTACATATACTACACAGTTTATTAAACGCTTATATGTACATATTACTAAAGTTTTCCTGTTTCTGCGAATTGCGGAACCAAATGAGTAAAATATGTTTTTTAACTACTAAATACATGATAAGTAGTATGATTAAGAAATTTATGTTCAACAATGATTAAAATCTGATGTAAAGAGTTGATGCAATTTTATAGATTTGGTATATCGATTATTAAAAGTAATTATTGCCGTTGCAACTTCAAAAAATTCATAACTTTATTTGGCAGTTCTCCGGCAACGATGCAGGCTGCAGTATATTTAGTATGATTTTCATTTGTCCAAACATCATCTTGTGTGTGTGTCGTTTAAGGTACTGTAAAATTGTTGATTTGCTCTCTGTCGGTTTTTTTTTAGATATGCCTATTCTAACTTATGTGAATTACGGGAATCATGGGAAACGTGTGCTTATCCACATTTTAAAAATGCTTTTATCTAGATATTAATTATGGAAAAAATTTTACTATCTAAGTGAACTAACCTTAGCTGCTTCCATGGGTGATAGCGCAATATCGGCAAAAAATTCAGCTGACGCGGATGCTGCTAAATACAAGCTAGTACGCCATAAATATGAATATTCTTCCCCAATAGTGTTTGAGTACATAACTTTGAACACTTCATACAAGCCAAATTTGCAGAGACCTTGCATCGAATAGCCAAAGAAGGTGGGAGCCCAGCCCTTTGAAAGCCCCTTAACCCCGTCCTCAGCTAGAGTTACCTTGAATCCGTTGAAAACCCCTTTATACTTAACGGGGTCTACCTGCATACGGCACTTGACTAAGTCCAACGGTACCACCATTGTATGAGTCAATCCACATGAAATTATACCGCCCAAACCACAAAGAGCAAAGTAATGACCCGATCCAAATTCGCAGGAGTTCTCTTCAACTTTCGCAATGTCGCACTGCGCCGCAGAAAATGGGAATCGAAAAGGAAAGATTCGCAACATCTCATTAATGCGCCACATATCCATCGTGACTGAAAATAAGTGAAAATTAAATTAGGTCAGTCGATTATCACGAAATAAACGTGCATTTTCTTTAATTTTGTTTATTTGTTATAAAGGTCTTGATGCTGGCTAAACCATAGTAAAATTTGACGCCACATTATTCCATATAGACTGAGTAAATGAAATTTTTTTGTTATTTTACAAAGTGACAGAAGGGACGCAGGAGGCTGACTTTGATAACATCATCATCTGATTTACTACGTACTTTGAATCTTGGATGCAGACGGCATGTTTATATAGTTTAGGCACTAGAAGCTTGTATCTGGCGACGGACAGACGGAAGAACAAACGGACGACAATGAAATTAAAGTTGAAATTTGTTTCTTTATTAAACACTTGTAATTATTTCTCATACTTAGTTTCTGAATTTGGTTATTTTGGGGTCCCTGAACGAAAACAGACTGTTATACACTTTTCTGAATCTTCCTGAAATGGTTTTCGATAAAACTCAAAATCATTAAAGGTCACATCGAAATGTTTTAAAGTAACAGTTATATAAGAGGGATTACGTGTTATATAATTTTTTTAATTGTTCCAAGCGCATAGCACCATATTCTTACCAACGTTTAATAAATGTACTCACCTTAAACAAGTATGATTTAAGAGTTGGAAAAATCCAATAACAGGTCACGAAAACGAATTTTAACTAAGTAGTGACACAAGAACAGTAGCAATTTGAGTGGAACGTTGTGACATAGACGAAAATAGCAGAGCAAAATAAGAAACAGACAAATGAATTGGTTTCCCGCCAATGGACATTGAAGAGTTTATACACACTCACACACACACATATACCACGTTTAAGTTTACCCTATAACGAATTTCCTTGGAGGGTCTTATGAATTGTTAGAGGAATAACCTAGTAACACACTTTTAGTGTGTTTATGTACTGTAGATTTTTAATAATTGTCTTATTTGAAAATGTGTTCATTTCGAATAAAAGTAAATTTTAAAACGTATCAAACTTTTCACATAAATAATTTAAAATCTTTTAGCAGTTCCATAACACAGTCCACAAACACCCTTGTTTGATGACGACGAAGTCCTGGGCTCAATCCTCACCACGAATGCAGTCAGAGATTAGTCCGGCAAGAGAAATGAAAGACATTTTTAATTCCAACAGACTGTCTGATTTCTGTCTGTTGATTCTCAACTGAGATTTCTAAAAAAAAAACTCCAGTGGAAATATTTCTCTTGGTCAGACAATAGAATATAAATTTATTTATTTATTTCGTCACAGCATGTACATATCAGTCTTTCTTGCGGCCATCGCCGTCTTAGCGTTGGTGACCAACCTCCAGGACAAAACGATGGAAAAGTCCCTTCGGAGGTTGTATGTTTGTGCGTCCCTCGGTGGGGGGGGGGTGGGGGGCGGGAGGGGGGCGCCGCGCCGACCCCTCATGACGTTATGCTGGAGGAGGCGGAGGATCTAGCCGCGAGGGCTGTTTGGCTCCGGACGGGGTTTAGTGTCAGGCATCGAGGGGCCCAGGAGGTCAAGTCTACCGTTCGACGATGTACGGATAATAGCCAATAAGCTTCAACTCATTTTTTCTAATACACTACGTTTCGGAGTATATTTTACTCCTTCCTCAAGTGTATAGGTTATTTGGGCAACAGCTGGTCACAGCAAAAACTTCACCAGCTAATTCGACCACTTTTGTATACTGCATCATACTGGACTGAACCTATTCGACTGTCAAATATATGAAACACACGTGAATCACGCATGAAACATGGTGAAAAAAAGCCCGGAAAAGGCATGAAAACCCATTTTCCTGGCCAAATACATACTCCAGAACCAACACAGAGCTTCTTTCAATCCCTTTTTGTGTAATTCCGTGAAAGACTTCCAACTGAAAAATTCATTCTGGCCAAAGGAATATATCCTCATGATCTCGCTCCAGCCCGATCTGAGGAACTTCCGGGACTTCGGGTGGTGCCAAACTCTTCCTCTGGACTCGCCCTTTCCAACGCCCCCTTAACTTTTCTGCTACTCTGCCTGTATTCCTGGCTAGGAGCCACGGAAGTTGGACAGCTCTATCCAACTGATACTCAGGAAGTACTCAGGAACTTCGGAGTGGTGCCAATCTCTTCCCCTTGACACCTCATATACAGGATCCCATTAACTTTCCTGCTACTCCGCCTGTGTTCCTGTCCAGGAGCTGCGGAGTTTTCTTATGCGAAATAAATATTTTGAATTTCCCGAGCTTTTGCAACAGCTGATTTAGGAACTGTCAGATTTGTTGTTTTGATTTTTCCTTCGCAAATTTTATGGGTTTTCCATCCGATTGGGATTCTTTTAACGTGCGATATGTGCGAAGGATGCATGTTTGAGATGAGAAAATTGAAAATTTCCCAGCAACGGGAGGAAAAATTGGCGATTGTGAGGTTATGTATTGTGTTTATTTTGATCATTTTGGCGGTTTGAATCAGCTGATCATCATATTATGGAATGAACAGGAAGTGGAGCTAGAATCCCAGATATTCTGTAAAGCTTCCGTCCGTGATGTGATGATTTTCTGGACATGCTAGCCAAGATCTTTCGCTGCACACACTCGCAGCAATTTTTATTCCACAAACTTTTCTTATGGAGAAACCACAGCATTTTCACGGAAAACCGACCAAAACACAAACTTTCCAGAATTCAACAATTCAACGACGCCTCTCTGTGATGAAGGTGTGGACCAACAGGTGGCGTGGGCAGCTGAAGAGTTATAAATAAAATAAATAATGTCCCTAGCTTTTTCTTTTAATATTTATTTCACTCTTTCAGGACTCGATGGAACATAGTGAATTTCTAATTTCATTTAATGGGAAAATAATAATAATCAAATAATGAAAAAGTAAGTTATTTTGATTCTTAAAAATTACTATTTAAAAAAACCTTAATTTAATTTTTTTTATACAATATCAGAAGTTTTTAAATTCATTTTTGCATAAATATTTTAATTTTTGTATTCATAAAAAATATAGTGAAATCAAAAACTAATAATTTATGTTTTAAATATTTTAACAGACGCGGCTATCCAAAGGATCTTTCCAGGAATAAGGAATCAACTCGCAAAGCGGATAAGCGGCAAAGGGAAACGACCATCTGGCGTCGCTAAACAGTGCATCTGATGGGAAACTCCCGTCCGCAATTTTCACCGGGTCCATCGTTGAGTAAAATTAGGGCAGAACTAGAGGACAACGGATCTTTCTTAGTCTCTCTCTGAGTAACGGAAATTCCTGTTGACTTCAGTGCACTGAATGCAAGTTCAGTGGCGTAGTTTGAAAATACTTTAATTTGGTAAATTTTATGAAGAATACCCATGGACTTACGCACTGCTGGTTGTGAGATGTCTTCTAGAATATTTAAGGACATATTTCAATTTCCCAAAAGTCCAGAATTGTGAAAAACAACACCAACGGAGTTGAAATACAACAATTTTTCTGGACTGGACTGAACCTATCCGACCCCGATAAAACCTGGCTTGAGCCAGTTCATGGGACTGGCTTGAGCCGAAGCTCATGTTCACAAGTGAATTTCCCTTGTGATTCCTTAAACTGGCTTATGACACCAGGAAGAAACGTATGTATGACGTATGTATGACAAACGCACGGGGCATGTCGCATCTTTTCATAAGCCATTCACTAGTGATTGTATGGCGCGACTTAAGCCAATCTTCAGCCATTTCACAAGCCCGGGCTAAAGCGATTCTCAGGGTTTTTCACAAGCATTGGGTGGTGTCTGGGCACAAGGAGGGCTAGTGAAATGGCTCAAGCCACGCCAAAGGACTTTCCAATGAAAAATATATTAAAAATCATCATATTAATTTTGTTCAAAATATTTATTTTGCATTCATTTTAGTAAAATGTTACAATAATACGGAAAACATCAATTTGACCTTATTTCTGGTGTATTTTTACTTACGTTTAGGCCCTTTTCAAAGTATTTTCTCTGCCAAACATAAATTTTTTTCGATAAATATAGTGAAAAATTGAGCAGTACTAAATTTTATTGATCAAATTGCTTTATTCATTTTAAAAGCTTTACGGTTAATTTCGTTCTATCTTAATAACTCAAATAATCCTTTTTTTAAAGAATTAAAAATCGAAAATATCAAATTCTTCACCTCTAAAGGAAGATTTTTTCATTAAAAAAGAATCTAATAATAATGTAAAAAATAATATCATTTAAAATTATACTCCTGGACTTGTCCGAATAACTGCATTTTCTTCGCTGAAATTATCAGTAACGCCAGATGGTCGTTTCCCTTTGCCGCTTATCCGCTTTGCGAGTTGATTCCTTATTCCTGGAAAGATCCTTTGGATAGCCGCGTCTGTTAAAATATTTAAAACATAAATTATTAGTTTTTGATTTCACTATATTTTTTATGAATACAAAAATTAAAATATTTATGCAAAAATGAATTTAAAAACTTCTGATATTGTATAAAAAAAATTAAATTAAGGTTTTTTTAAATAGTAATTTTTAAGAATCAAAATAACTTACTTTTTCATTATTTGATTATTATTATTTTCCCATTAAATGAAATTAGAAATTCACTATGTTCCATCGAGTCCTGAAAGAGTGAAATAAATATTTAAAGAAAAAGCTAGGGACATTATTTATTTTATTTATAACTCTTCAGCTGCCCACGCCACCTGTTGGTCCACACCTTCATCACAGAGAGGCGTCGTTGAATTGTTGAATTCTGGAAAGTTTGTGTTTTGGTCGGTTTTCCGTGAAAATGCTGTGGTTTCTCCATAAGAAAAGTTTGTGGAATAAAAATTGCTGCGAGTGTGTGCAGCGAAAGATCTTGGCTAGCATGTCCAGAAGATCATCACATCACGGACGGAAGCTTTACAGAATATCTGGGTTCTAGCTCCACTTCCTGTTCATTCCACAATATGATGATCAGCTGATTCAAACCGCCAAAATGATCAAAATAAACACAATACATAACCTCACAATCGCCAATTTTTCCTCCCGTTGCTGGGAAATTTTCAATTTTCTCATCTCAAACATGCATCCTTCGCACATATCGCACGTTAAAAGAATCCCAATCGGATGGAAAACCCATAAAATTTGCGAAGGAAAAATCAAAACAACAAATCTGACAGTTCCTAAATCAGCTGTTGCAAAAGCTCGGGAAATTCAAAATATTTATTTCGCATAAGAAAACTCCGCAGCTCCTGGACAGGAACACAGGCGGAGTAGCAGGAAAGTTAATGGGATCCTGTATATGAGGTGTCAAGGGGAAGAGATTGGCACCACTCCGAAGTTCCTGAGTACTTCCTGAGTATCAGTTGGATAGAGCTGTCCAACTTCCGTGGCTCCTAGCCAGGAATACAGGCAGAGTAGCAGAAAAGTTAAGGGGGCGTTGGAAAGGGCGAGTCCAGAGGAAGAGTTTGGCACCACCCGAAGTCCCGGAAGTTCCTCAGATCGGGCTGGAGCGAGATCATGAGGATATATTCCTTTGGCCAGAATGAATTTTTCAGTTGGAAGTCTTTCACGGAATTACACAAAAAGGGATTGAAAGAAGCTCTGTGTTGGTTCTGGAGTATGTATTTGGCCAGGAAAATGGGTTTTCATGCCTTTTCCGGGCTTTTTTTCACCATGTTTCATGCGTGATTCACGTGTGTTTCATATATTTGACAGTCGAATAGCGAATCGGTTAGGTTCAGTCCAGTCTGCATCATCTGCATATCCCAATAAACTCCATTTTTCGTACATCGTCGAACACCAATCAACTGCTGCCAGCGGCAGCAGTCGATTGGAGTTGTTTTTACGAGGTTCGATTTTTAGAGCGGTTACAGATATTAGCTGTGATGTATATCCCAGCTAAGAATTGACCATAGATAGTGAAGTGTAAGCACCAGACAGGTTGTTTGTTATGCAAGCATCCGAAGTTATGAAGAGATGGGAGCAGTACCTCCGAGACTTTCTGGACGCAAGCGGTGAAACCCTGCAATAGGAAGAGGAGGTTTTGGCTGAAGACGGTCGAGAAGAGGATGCTCCCAATGGACGGACGTGGCGGTTGAAATCCGGTCCTGGATAACATCCCTGCGAAGCATGGAGGGGATGAATGCTGCAGCCGCATCCACGGGCTCGTCCGTAAAATATAGGAAACGGAGCGGATGCCTTTAGGACTGGAGTGTGGAACTCATAATTCCAATCTACAAGAATGGCGATCGCTTGGACTGCAAGAACTACAGGAGAATTTTGCTCCTGGACAGTGTGTATAAAGTCTTGTCGAGGATCATACTGAATAGGCTGAAACCGTATGCTTAGAGAGCAATCGTGGAGTATCAGACAGCCTTCCGGCCTGGAAGGTCCACGACCGATCAGCTCTTCAGTAACCGCCAGTCACTGGAAAAATTCTGGAAGCACAACATCTCAGTCCATCAGCTGTTCGTAGACTTCAGACAGGCTCACGACACCGTTAACACAGGCGGCTAGAGATATGTCTTTCATTTCGGAGAATAGGGTTCTCATAATTAGGACTAAACATAACTTGGTATGTTTGTAAATTTTAATAATACAACTTCACTTCTTTTTCTCTAAGAATACCCTTATCGAGAAGATCAAAACCACGTACAGCATTATTACTGAAACATTTAAATGAACCGACTTATATCATTCATTAATATTCTTTTAAATAAACATTACATGTATAGAATATTTCTTAAGAAATCACTCTTATTGGCAAAAGTTTTTGAATTTGCCAGCTGCATTTTTATTAACATTAATATTTAGGCAATTTTTGGGCTATTGAAGTAGATGATTGTCAAGTGAAACGACCAGAGGATATGGTTCTTTTAATTTGACGCTTAATAAAAATCGTATTTATCTATCTACTAACTGTTTGCGCACTCACTTTCATATGAGCTGGTATAAAACTCAAAAAATAGTGCCAGTTTATTTACATTTGGTCTTACATCATAAACATATACAAAAATGTCTTTAAGTCATAGTTTTGTGCTTAACTTGATCCTGCCAACAATGGTAATACCAATATCTGTGAACTGTGGGTACTTTCACCTTTTTTTTATCTCTTCTAAAAAAAATCCAAATACCTCACAAACAAATGGATCAAGACTAGAGATAGGAAAAGGGTGACTGTTTCTCAGTGGTCAACCCGCTTGACTCTCGATGCTACAGTCGTGTGTTCGAATCCCACCGATTGCAAATGTTCGAACACAGTAGAGCGCAAAAAGGTTAGCTCTTCACTGACAGATTAGGATATCCCAAGGGGTTACGTTGTATATTCCAGCTGAAACATACGCTTCACTGGATTTTTTTGCGCTCTGTCCCTGTATATATAAAGGTGGGCGTTGGAACCAATTATAGTTGGTCGGCAAGCTGATAAACTGCCACCGTCAAACAAAAACTTGTTTCGAATATCTCCTCTAATGGAGAAGGCTATGTCCTTCAATGGGACGTCGATGCCCTCCTAAGTAAATAAATAAGAGACAGAAAACTGTACGTAAAACTTTCGCCGTAGTTTTAATTTAACATCATATTGCTTTCAAGATGAATCCGGAGGTTAATGCAAAAATATATCCTGAACTGCTTGAGCTCAAGATATTTTTTATGCTGTAACTTTCCTTGATGAACCTCCATATCTCCGCTACTCAAACATCGGACACTAAAAGTAACAGTTCGTTAGAAAGATCTCGATCTAAGCTTCAACATACTAAAATTTAAAGAAAATGCACTGTTTCGTTTTCGAGTTATTTGATTTCGAAAATAGTTTTTTTTCCTTACTTTAGCGCCCCTTGCGGTGGTCCTATTGTATATCACTAGAACTAATTTCTCCTTGTTCTAGTTAACATATTAGGGCGAATTATTGTTCTTGAAATAAAAAAAACGTGAAAATCACGAGAAGGAAAAATCGCATGCATTTGAGTAGTCGAGTATTTGCATTCGTGCGCCTGTGCTGGAGCTGCAGTTGGCGATTAATGAGCATAGCTAAAATATGAATTTTCTATGGCAAATAAGGACTGTATCACCCCTGTGCATCTATAGTAAGATCTTAGGATATACCGTTATCATTAGGCAAAAACAATTGCTTCAAATTATTAAATATATGAGAAAATCGTTGAAACTCTGGTGCCATAGTACGCAATGCTATCCTATTGTCTACTACTACTTCAGATGCTAATACAAATATTTTCAAAACGATAAAGTCAAAAATTGAGTTTTAATGTGAAGTTATATTAATATTTCTCAAGTATTTTCTCTGGGCAAGATCAAAGCGTTTCCAAAATGGAGGTAAAATTTTCTACCAAAGCTAAATATATACGTTAATATGAAATATTGGATATTTTTTGTTTTACTTTTATTTGAAATTACTATATATTTATTTTGCCAAAACAAAAGTTTATGGTTAACCCCAATTCCTATGTTTTTTGGTCGTTTACATACGTAACGAGTGCTGAGCCATGTTTTTGTTGACATGGATAGCGCGGCCTTAAATCCTGTTCAATGAAGCTGTTTAATAAAACACACAAGCAATCCCTTATCCGTAGTTTTAAAAGAGTTCTACATACTCTTTCTTGATTTGTTGTTTTTTTTATATACTATAAATCATTTATACGCTCGTAAAGTGAATTTGGTATTAAAATTAAGTTTTCTGACACATTAGCGAATGTATTTTTTATTCATACTCTAACGACATTCTTTTAACTAATACATATTTCTGCTGACAACCGTTTATTTTGTATAACTCTCTATAATTTTGCCTGGTCATGCTGGCCAGATGACGAATGCTTCGCAGGTTCATTTTGAATTCATCAAAGATTATAAATTAACATTTTTCGTTTCTGATAAAAATCGTCTTTACTCTGAGGCAACACGAGGTTTGATGTTTCGTTTTTTTCACATTTTCTTGTCTAGTGTTAACTTATATCAAAATTAAAAGTTTATTTTAAAACTTTAACTAAGAGTATTGAAAAGGTCACATAGAAAACAAAATAGAAATAATTACTATGATTTTAAAAATTATAAGTGTAGATGATTTTAATTTTTCAAATGAAAGTATTCCTCACTCTCAGTGGAAAATATTTCTTACTTAAGAGTGATAACAATACTTCAACTTTTGTAAAATATAAATAAATTTAAGTTAAGAATTGTTTTCTTGAAAATATTGAATATTTTTGTGCTGCAAGTTTTCACGAAATTTTCTGGAAATTCAATTATTTTGTCTAATAGAAATTAGACAAAAATAAATTATTATTATTATTATTAATAAAAGAGTAATTTATTTATTGTAAGTTTTATGTCATATGATCAGAGAGGATAATTTCAACATAACATAAAAGTCGATTTGTGTGTTTTCTACTTGCTCTGTTCGTTACACGTCGAAAAGATTACATAGCGTTGTCTCAGTTGCGTATCTTTATTTCTCACTCTGGCGCAATATGGTGGTCGGGGGTGTTGCCAGCCATGGCCTCTGCGTGTGTCAGTGCAATTCCCACAACCGTCAACGTCGACCGCATCGTGATCACGTACGTCGAATGTGACCACCCGTCTCACGTGTGTGATCTCTTTGGTGAGTGGGGGCGCCGCGATCGGGCATTAAGTAGAGGTCTTTAACGTTTCTGCCCTTACGGCACTTCCGTATTTTTTACAGGATATTTCAAGTGTGTCAATTTACGCCATGTTGCGGAGTAAGTGAAGTCATTTTTTGGTCGATGGGGCCACTGGGAGCGCCAAGATGGCGCCAACGCCGTGACTGCGGTGTACGCCGCCGGCTCCAGTGGCGCTCGCGGCGGACGATACAGTGTGACTGACGTGCATTGAGTGACGATTGTAAACAGTGTGTGATTGTGCGGATCCCCACTAGAGCATGCCCCATACCAGCGGGGCCCATCCGGCGTCCACGGGAGACGATTTGGGCAGCACGGACGAGGTGAAAATATTTAAAGACGAGGGTGATCGTGAAGATGAGAAAAACTCATCCGAAAATTTGCTGGAAGAAAAGTCAAGTCTTATTGACTTGACGGAGAGTGAAGAGAAAAGTGCCAAAAATTCCAGGACGGACCACAATCCAGTTTTTGGTGAGTTTGTTTTATACTGTTAAAATTACATTGTTTTGTATAGTTAATAAACCTAATAAGAAGTTTTATTTGTTAATTGAATCTTCAAAAGTTTTTTTTTTAGAACGGAATGGCAAGCGCGAAATGTGTAAAGAATTGTCAATTTGTCTTTTTAAAATTAAAAAAAAAAAATAGTTCTACAATTTTATACACATTCATAAATAAATCGGAATTGTCACGCGAAACAATTTATTTTGAATTATTTCTTTACACTTTTAAACGATATTGAACTCTGATTTTAGTACATTGATTACATACTTCAAATATCATTGTTAGAGAATTTTTAAGTACAGGGAAATATAAAATAGTTTCAGTACGAAATCAAAATCACTGAAACAAATAAAATACTTGCTTTTCAAGTTAAAAGCATAAAATAAAAATCGATAAGGCAAAAATAAGAGATGTTTATATGGCAGATTTATGGAAGAAAGGTATATTACAGTTCAAAACTTATTTTGAAGGATTCAATGAAAGTTTACATGATTTACTATGTTTAGTAGCTAAATGAAACATTTCAATCAAAGATGTAATTGTCTAATTTTTAATGATATTAAAAATTTTTATCATGTTTATTTAAAATACCTAAGTATTATGTAAGATGTTATGAATAAAATCCAGAACTCTTGTTTTCTCTATTTTTTTTACCAATTACGTGCTTTACTAGTAATGTAATCTGCTTTAACTGAATTACAACAGTTTGAGTAGAATTGTAATAAGTGAAAGTCCTATGAAAGTCACAGGAATTACGGTTGAAAAATTAGAAGCAATAATCAAATTTGAGCTAGAATTCGAGTTACTTTTTTCATATATTCTTAGAATAAAAAGACTACATTTTACCTTTAAAAATTTTCACTACATATATTTTTTGTTTCTCTTCGCCATGCCTTTTGTGATTTTCTTTCTTACACCCTTTTTCGTTCCAGTCTTCTATCCTTGTTTTATTGCCCTTACCAGTTTAAAAATCATACAAAGGAGCAAGAAAATTAATCACGAAATCCATGGCGAAGAAAGAGTTGATAATAATATAGTGGTGAAAATTTTTAAACGCAAAATCTATGTATTTACTATTTGACAATATTTGAACTTATCAGACTATCCCTTTACTTTCTTAACGATTTTTATTTATTTTTTCTATAAAGTCTAAAAATTTAAGGTTTTTTTAAAGTTTTCTTTGTACTTAAAAGAAAAAGCTATAACTGAAAATTTAATTTTGCTCAAAATTGCTCGCTATTATCATTTATTATATAATATTTTTATTTAATATATTTATCGGTAAGTTCTCAGTTCTGACTGAACGGTTACCAAATTTGAAGTTCAAAACGGTTTGAGTTGAGATTAAATACATTTAAAGGCCATTTAAGAGCTTGAAAAAGAGAATTATGAACAGGAATATTCGTTTTCTAAAAGGCAAATTTTGAGGACAAATTTTCTATATTTTTATACATTTCATATGAGACTCAACTTATTTTTTTACATAACACATGAATGTGTTTCCATTCTGTTATTATCATGTCAATAGATGTATGTCTGCTATTTTATAAATTATTTATTTTGGCGTTAACATCAAGGCGTATATACTACTTTAGATGAATTCCTCTAGACTCAGGATTTATATTCAGGACCTAAAATGAACTTACTCTGTAATTTTAGATTATAATTTTCGAATAGAAGCTATATGCTTAAATCACTATATAAAGTGCAGCCTCTCAAAGGCTCACATATCTTCATTGAATTCTCGTAGGCAAATAAGGGTCTGGTAAGAAAGTGAATTAGATTGTGGTAGCGATCCGAAATTATTTGCCTACGATATAAACGCTACGGATTAAAATATCGTTATGTAGATATAAACAACGACTCTTTCTTGAATTACAGGAAAAGTCGAGCCACATGCTTCAACATTTAATATGGGATACCTAGTGTCACCGTACTCATATACAAATGGAGGTACTGGTGGCCTTCCTGTTTCAATGGTGAGTCCACACAATTTCTAATTATATGTTCATTTGAAATTGACAGCTTGTTGCATCGATACTCAAGGTTAAACCGCAGAATGTGTTTTTAACACTATGTGTAAAATCATGATTATTTTAGGGTCTTGCGGATACACTGTTTGTGAAAAAGGGGTAACATATAATCTATATGTACTATTAATATACAGAGAGGGCTGCGCATTTAATATTTATAATATAATAGTGTGCAGTCCATAAAAAATTACGTGATATTAGGGTGGGTTAATCGCTCTAACCATGATTTATCACTCATATAATTCTTTTTTAATGCATAATTGGTGTTAATTATGAAGTAAAAAAGCTAAACAATTTTTTAACAATTAAAAACATGCCTAATACGAATACAGAAAAGAATTAAATTTTAAATTATATTGTACATTCTTTTCAATGCACTTTGCCTGCTCGTCACAAATGGATGGGTAGAAAAATCAAGCTTAAAATCAAAGTACGAGAAGAAGTTTTTCTTCTGTCAATACAAAATTATATTATTTTATTTTCATTTACTGATTTATTTGTTTTATTCCGAAAACTTTTAAGTTTGTTGAGTGAAAATATGTAAGAGCATTTTTTACAGTATAAATAAAAAACTTCATTTTATTGTCTAATAGTAAATCTAATAGCGGTTGAATATAAGCGAGGGGAATAATTTTTTTTTATAAGTTTTTATGATGTAGTGTTTACTATCCGTTGCTTGTTTTTTTCTAACAGAAAAGAATAAATTTACGTAGCGGCCAAGGTTTAGCCGCTACTCAGTTTACTCTTCGACTGAATGTTTTTATTCTTATTCCTAATTATTCATCGAATTCTGATGCTATTGATAGGATACTAAAAACTTATTTTGTGAGACGAATCCTTTTTTACTGTGAAAGCGTTAATAGTGCAGAACTCTCTGACAGTGTCTGCTGTAGTGTGATCGTAAAACGTGTGCAAAAGAGTGGGCGAGTCAGCGTTCCCATCTCTCTGTTTATGAAAAACGAGAGAGAAGATACATGGGACTCGACTGCCACCTCATTAAATCGTTGAGTGTTCAAACGAGGCAAAGAGGGTGAAACCGTTGGCAGGGAGAAGTGCGGCCCGTGCGTTTGGCTTGTTGGTTCATAAGACGATGCGAAGAAAGAAAGAAAAAATGTAAATTGGGCACTGAAGACGAGTTTGTGTGTGCGTGTATACATGTCTTTTGTTAAAGGCAGAGAGTCTGCTTGAAAATTGTATGGGAGCGTCTCAAACATTAGCACCTAGTTATGTTTATTTAAATTGTATGTTATCTGTGGAGCGAGCGGGAGAGAAATATTAGTGTCGAGTCATGGAATTTTCGGGCTTGTCGACGAGTTTTTCATCGCCTCTACTGTTTTCTAAAGAAACGCCAAAAGTTTTTGACTGTACACACAGTATTCTTTTTTACACGATATATGAAGAAAACGTTGCATTAAGCTTAAATGTTTTCAAAACATATCTTAATTAACAAATTACATTAATTTCATTTTATCGAAATGCTTTCTCAATGCGTCATTAGTTCATTTTTATTTTATGGTGGACTATTAAATTTTGATAATATTGTAAATGGAAATATTTTAGAGTGGTAATTGTTTTTACATATGAAGTATGGGATTGTCAGATAACAAAATTACGCTTCATTTAATAGTGAGAATTATTTGACAATATTTATTACCTTCCTCTATAATTCGTTATTTGTTAGAATTGACAGACAAGGTCGCTAAAATTCCTTTTATTCTCAATTCTTTGTTTTGGGACTTAGGTACCACTTTGTTAGGGGCCATAAATTATCCCAACTCTGACAAATTCACTAAACGCTTTAAATATTGAGGGTATTATTCGGTATTAACCAGGTCCTCATAATAAATGAACCCAAATTAGAAAGTTTTTACTTTAAGCTGGAAACCTTAAAAATACGAATTAAATATAATTACTGGAAACTGAAATTGGTTATGGATTAACTTCAATTTTTGTTATCAATTCAAAAAGTGAAAATATTTTTGAAATATGTGATGATCTGAAACTTATATTCTTTTTCTATTTCGGATTCCATGAAGAATTTTTTTGTTTGCTTCTTTTTACGTGAAGTTTGGTAAACTCTAGTTCTTTTCAAATGTCATTTTCATCAAGATTGTTGTATCTACTGCGTTCAACTAAGATTTGATTTGAGTAACTACAGGGAAATTAGGGAAAATGGATAAAGGAAAATACATTTCTGCTCTTCGTTTCTCTTTTTTAAGAAACAGCTATGTGTTCTATAACGTTTTTTCTCCTATCCTTCCTTTTCCTCTAATATGAATTTTAGCTTTTTTTAGTTAATCTATCTTTTTTTCGCATGCTAGTCAAAATATGGTTTTTTTTTCTCTTTCTCTTATTGCTTCTTCGCATTCGATACTTTGTGCTCTGGGGCTAGTATTTTTAAGACAGTTTTTTCTTTTCGTTTTCTTATGCGCTCGCAGAGATGCGAATTAGTCTCTACGTGTGCGAGACACTGAGAGATTGAACAAAAGGCAGATAGATGTATAGTTAAGTGATTAATAAACAAACTCTTGTTGGTACTTTGGACGAGTTCGATTTTTAGAGCGCAGTTCAGTAGCGTATCGAGATCGTATTTAAACGAACATTATTGAACGGCTAGTATCAACTTGATGAATCTTGCTCAATCTTGTTTATTAGTAAGGGATTTAGAATTTAATTTAGCAATAAGATATGAAACTTGTAAATTATCTATGTTTTAAATATGAATTACGAACAAGATTTTATTAATGTTCAACAGGTTCATGTTTAATATCTTATATCCTTGGTCTAACCGTAAAACGTCTTTTGAAATATTAATGCTCCAAAAGTGCAATTATTTGTTAAGTTGTGTTGTTTGAGAATGCTTTGAAAGCTTTATATTTCGACTTGGTTTCAACTTCTGCCCACTCTGCTTTTTGTAGAGTTTATGTAACATTCCCATGTGGAAGTAAAATCAGAAAATATTGCCAGTAACCCCTTCTGAGTTGTGAAAATGGATTGCTAAAGAATGTAATTTGTGTGATGAAGATCTTTTTTTCTACTTGTTTATTCATTTTCAAATGCAAACAGTTAAAAAAAAGTCTCTTAAATCTTCTGTTATAAATATTTTATTGCATTCCTTACTTGTATTCGCATTAGGATATAATCTCTATTTGTCTTCACCAGTTTTAAGAAAATTGTTTTGAAGAAAGTCGCTACCTGGAGACTGGTTGTCGTCATTACTTGTGCACGGCAGCTCAGCTAGGGTTCGGAGCGTATTAGTTCCGAGTACGTCTACTGATATTTATTATATAAGAAACCTCACCCTCAACCTCTTCTCTCATCTCGGACAAGACAGTAGCTGAAAAAAGTTTTCCAACCATTTATCTTGCCCGGTCTCGAACCGGGGCCTCTGTATTGGTACTTCAGCGCGCTCCCAAGTACGCTACAAGACTGGATGAGAGTTCATAGATTGAAGGCTTTATATTTATTGTCGTACACTAATCCTGTCTGGAGTCATAATACATAACTCACTCTCGCGCGCTTATAGAATCTTGGTCAATGCAATTAAGAGAAAATTCCTGGACAATACTTATTGTGAAAACACAGCATTTGGCTCATACTATTTCAAGTTGGTATCATCAGATTCTTTTTCAGTCTGCAACTCAATTTTTGGCGGGCAATTTTGATAATAATCCTATTGTCCGACTTGTTGAACTCAAGTTCAGCGCGGGTTACTCAATGTATCTGCGCAAATCGCATAGGTGTTGCTCAAAGAAAATCTACAGAGTTACACTCGGTATAGTATGTCGTGCGAGTCGGAAAGAAAACTAGCTCCAATACACAATACGCTTGGTGCAGAAAGAGACAAACCCGATCACTGGTTCGCCGTAAAATGCTGTCGTTGCATCATATATAACTAACTTCATTTTTATATGTTCTCATTATTTTCAAATTCTATAACTTAAACCCATTTACAATCTCAATAACAGGGGCAGACCCTAAAAATTGTCATTATTATTATTATTATGTGTATAATAATAATAATCATTATTATTATTATTAGAAGGAGCAATCCCAAGCGAAAATGATAGATGAATTTGTGCCGTAGACATAGTGAATAAATGGAAAAGGAAATTCACCACGCACGCCAAAAATACCTGTTTATACGAATACCCAAAAAACCACCATGTATGAAATAATCTTAAATACATATTCAATTTAATTAAAAATTAAATTTCATTGCCAATTAAATGAAAAACAATGTTGAATATTACATCTTCTTTATATATATATAAATATATATATTATATATATATTATATATATATATATATATATATATATTATATATATATATATTATATATATAGATATACATACTTTGTAGACCGTGAAATCCATAACGTCTATGTTTTGACTGCACATATAGATTGAAAGCTGTTTTATGGTTCTCTCACATATGACCTAACGAGATGGCCAACAAGTGGCCACACTAACATAAGGAGCATTGATCATTTCATTATTTGCCTCTTACTCGCTTCATTGGTCTACTCAAATCACATTCGACCACTCGAGTCGATAGTAGGGGTGGATAAATACAATTACGGCAGTGGGAAAAATAAGAATAAGTACGACCAACGTGTTTGGTTAGGTAAGAGTCAAGATTTTTATTTAGATTTTTCAGCAAACTTGATTTAAAGCTAGCCTAAAGTATACAAAAATCTAAATTTAAATTGTCTTGAAATATCACAAAAAGTTTCACAAGGATTTTCTTCATTTTATATATTCTTTTTTCTGTTCTATTTCTTAGTTATTCAGCTTGTGGATTTCCAGTTACCTGACGCAATCGTTCTTCAGGCACTATCCACAATCCTATCCGATTATTAGAAATCTTTTCATCATTTTTTTTCTGCAATCATTAATCGGACTTTCCAGCTTGTGAATTCCAGATACCTGTTTTAATCGATT